ATCCTGTTTGGACTTGAACATCGCCCCAAAATGGGTTATATATTTTTGGAATGGCAACGTTTGTGGTCCAAAATATCATATGACCGGAGGCAACATTCTTTTTCTACTACCTGCATCTCCTCCCCTTTCCCTTCCCATTCCAGCCCTTGGGGAAGTGAGAGAATTCAACTTTTTTTCTTTTTTTTGCAAAATGAGACATACATTCAAGAGTGTCGTTAATCAAAAAAAGAAAAGAAAAACATTTGAGGAAACTGTTGAAAATTAGTTTAGATTTTGTTTGAAGACTGCACAACCCAAAGGTTTTGTTGTTATTAGCAGGCTATCGCTAGCTTCTGTTACTACCTCAACAAGTATGAGGATGTGTGGTGGGTAAGTGAGGCCAACTAAAACTGCCAAACGGATGCGCTAGCTGTTTCAAACACATGTAGCCCATTATCTTGTTGCCCTCTTAGAGGGTGATGTCTGTTATTTCTAATTGCCTTGTTGCTATTTTGACTCTTGAGTACTACGCCTGTGAAGGGCTGGCACTTAACCGACCTTCTTTTTGTCTGGTTCTAATTAAGATGTCTTTTTCAACTACTTGAAAAGCAATGCTGAACACAACGGATTGTGAATGGCCGGGTGTTTTGCAACTGTAGAGTAGGCCACATCTGAAGAACCTCGGTCAAGAACCACTGAGCTGTTTGTTTTTTGTTTTTTTTTTTTGTTTTTTTTTTGTTTTTACAGAATGTTCATTTCTTTCAATTGACACAATTCCACATCCCGTAGCATTCTTCTCCACTGACCAGTCACCATGGTGACCAACACAACAGTAACTGGATCCAGGTCATTTCTGTTTGCCTGAACTCAGATAGATAAATCTATCATCCATTATGGCACGTCACTGAATCAGTTATTAATCATCACATTTATAAAAAAGAACCTTTAAATGCAATGACCAAAATTCTGCGTTAGATCTGTGTGTGTACATTATGCATCTTTCTCCTGCGTTATGGCTGACTCAGATACAGGCTACTCACCGTGAGCAGGTTGAGAACAGCTGCCACTGTCAGATGTTATTGAGGAAGTGATAGATCATTTCCCACAGGATGAGGACGCTCGGCACACAGCGAGCCTGACCTTAATTGTTTACCGGCATTAATCTCGTCTCAGTATTGCTGCCGCCTATTTTAGCAGAGGACGCCTAAGTGTCAAGTGTTTGCGCTGTGTAGAGTGCGGAATTAAGGGAAATAAAAGAGGAAAGAGGAAGAAGACGTGTTAATGGAGATACAATAATGAGAAAAGCAAAGAAGCAGCGGGACCTGAGTGACGACTCAGGAAAAGCAGTCCTCCCCTTTTTGAAGCTCCCTTTGCACCTCTACACGTCTAACAATCCAGCCGTTTCTGCTTTGGTCCATTTTGGGAAAATGAAAAGACACAGTGGTAATAATTGTAATGAGATGAATGCTCTGTGACGAGACAATGAAGTTTAATTAAAGCGTGGCAGGCCGCGGTGGGGTATTTAACTGTTTTATCTGATGGGGCGTCATACAGTCACAGCTGTGAGGCCTGGCACTGGGAGATCAGTTTGTTAGCACAGGCTGTTGTCAGATAAGAACCTCTGTGATTACATTTTTATACCGACTTGGATCACGTAAATGAAATGGAAGGAGAGGCAGTCAGACGGGCACTGAAAAACACACTCTGTTTAGCCACTGAGGATGGAACTGTTTAAAAGCATTAAAGCAGTTAAGTTAAGCAAAAAAAAAAAAGAAGCCGCTATTTATCTTATTGTAACCTTCAAGTCTATATGAACCCTTGTATGTATTTTGCATTTAAAATCATCAGTTAACAGGTCACTTCTGCTAATGTTTTTTTGTTATTGTTCTTTTTTTATTTAAATGCAAAATACTTTTATTTTAATTGAATAGTTTTTAATACTGCCTCTGGTTTGTGTGTTTGTGGTTTTGTCTGTTCTACTGTTGAGAATAAAACAGAACCCTGTCCTCTCTCTACACACGATTTTGAGAGAATCAGAGGTCACAGATCCCTATTATTTTGTTCGTATTTAACACAACTCCTATAATTTTCCTCGTAACCTGGCAGAAATACGAACACTCGGATCGACCGAGGCTTCGCTTCCTCTTCCCTGAGAGAAAACGAAACGATGAGAAACCCATTATGAGTAAATTACGAAAGGATGTGACTTCGACACCGTCCTTGTTTTTGTCAGTCGGCGGCGAGGTTCTGCGCACGCTAACGCACTCTCAACGAGAGGCTTACGAAATAGCTTCGGCAGAAAAAAATAATTGGCCCCACAGGTGACGTGGGGTTATGGAAAGAACGAGGAAAGCAGCTGGGGAGGATGAGGTTAGCGCGGCAGATAAACCACGGGAGATTGTGTGACTGGTGTACAAATGTATATAATCTGATTTTAAAGCAGCGAGTGTAACAAAGGGATTCCTAACTGATTGTTGAATTAAATTGACTTTAGCACAAGTGCTTTGTGACATTAGGTTTCTAAGGTTGCTTCTTGTGCCTTTTTTTTACTATGATTCCTAAGCTCCATATCCAGGATCTCCCTTCTCTGTGTGGACCAGTAATTAGTTATAGTATTTGGTGCTCCTTGGCCTGTGCAGCCTTCTCCTTGGGAATGTACTATTGCAGATGGAAAATAAAGGCATTACATTTGGGGCCCAGGGACTGTTGGCCAGTACTGTATGTACCAACCTGAAATCATATCCACACACAGACACCTTACGTTCCTCTCAGATTTTCTGGCTCATTTTCCGCGTGTTGTTCATGCTCTGCACCAAAGGAGCGTTGCGAGTTGTGTGATAGCGCAAACCACATCTAGCTCAGTGTTGTAAGGATTTTCAACATTGACAAACCTGACGTAAAAAAAAAATATATGTAAACTCACTCACTCGTAAATATGACAATGTATTACCAGGAACTTCTGCTCCTCTTTTTATTCATTTAATTCATTGCTTGTACGGAATCAGATTTTTTTTTTTGTTCTAGTTTGTTTGTTCTAATTAGCTTGGCCAGATTGGCCATTCATTTCTGCAGTATTGCTGAAACACTTAATCTTTAACCTTCTCTTCTTACACTCATATATATATTTATTCATCTATGTCATGTAGAGGCAAATTCTAACCTTACTTTTAGCAATCTGGGGGATAACTGTTAGTTGTTGTTTTTCTATTTATTGAGTTTTTTGAGTAAGGAGAACAATAGTACCAAGCCAATTAAAAGAATAGTTATGGTTTCAGGTACATTGAGATATGAACACACACACAGGAAGTCACATCATAATGACATTAATAAAAGTAATAAAGAGTACATGTATTAATATGACTGGTCCATTATGCCTCTCAGTACTCACTTCAAATTGTTTCTGTTTTTTTTTCATGCAGCACTAAGTCCGGCACTGCAGTGAAACCGGCAACCTGAGAGATCATGTTCCATTAATTGCTTCCCTAGAGTTAAACTCTCCACTGCTTACGTTGCCCCGCATCAGGCAGCGCAGTAAAGGGGGAGTGTGTGACACACCTCTGCCCTTCACAGGATGTTGAATTGACTCGCGCACACTCACTCTGACGGCCTTCTACCAATTTCAGCAACCTAACCCCTTCTATCAGGGAGGGTTTTAACCAGGCGGCGGCAGCAGCCAGCGTCCCCAGGAGAAAAGAGGGCGGGGGAGGTGAGGGAGATTACTCAAATACCCTCGCATCGCTGTGGTATCAACAGGACCCTTGTGCATACATACAACAGGGAATCTTAATCTGGAAGAAATTGAGACGAATAAAAAGCATCAAATGCAGTGGATAACAACGTGTTGTCTTTTGCCCCGCCTGACCTGCTAATTGTAACAGCATGTTTTGCAGCTGTCCAATGACCCTTATACCCTTTGACCCCCCCTTGACCTCTGTTCCACTAAAGGACTACAAACAGCTCCAAAGAAGGGTTTCCAGAGTTATTATATACTAGAAATGTTTTGGGTTTTTTTTTTACTTACATTAAATAAAAAGTGGCCTAATTGCACAGAAATGAATTATTCACAAACTTCTAAAATCCATACCCCAGTTCAATTTAGTAGTAAAATATTCTCCAGGAGTAATACTTGTTTTTTTTCTTCTGAAATGTCATTTAATTGCTTTTGCGAGATGTACATCATAATAACGACAGAAGAACAGATATAGAGGTCGTAAACAAGGGCGTAACCAGAGAGTAGTGACATTGTCATCTTGTCAGCTTCACATCAAGTGCTGCTCATTAATTGTGATAAGGTGCCAGGCATCATCTGCCTCTGACCGTCGGGGGGAGGGAAGGGAGATGGATGGCCCTGAGGCGTTTTACTGTGGCTAGTGTTAAATTACACTCAGAGGTGATCCATCAGACCTGTACAGACCTGTCCATGTCCTGTGGAAGACTGACACCTCAACGGCCACCTGGGAAGCTCTTCATAACTTTAAATAGGTTTAAATAGCATGGGACCGGACAAATAAGTAGCTGTGGATATATTTATTAATTAGAATTTAAGGCTGTAAATCATTGATTTTGGTTGCCTTCCACTAATCCCAAACAGTTCACCAGTCAAATTAATTTTACCTTCGATGCAACAATATCATGAAAAGGCTTTGTATTGGCATTTCTCGATCAACATAGTGGTTCTGATTATCTCTAAGCTTCTGGGAAACCATTGCAGTACAAAAAAAAAAAAAAGAAAACAGTTTAATGGAGCCATTGCGAGAAGTTATATTGCTTGTGCTACAGCGTGTCACTTTAAATAAACATTCAATTTTATTTTATTGCAGGGTGTGAAAGTAAAAATGGTATAAACAAACACAAACCTACAGTGATATAGATGGTACTTACTATGATAAGGTCATGATACTACTACTACTGCTTTATATTTACACTAAAATGTCAAATGGTTGGTTGAAATCCGATTCATCAGTTCAGAACAAGCCTAACTCAGAACTTTTTCTTGTTCTTTTCCCTCCCTCTGTTCCCAGGATGGTTCCAAGCAGAGACAAGTGAGGAAGAAGACTGTATCTTTCAGCACAATGCCAAGTGACCGAAAGATCAACAGCACAGCTGCCTGCATGGCCTTTATGATGGAGGGATGTGAGATGAAGAAAGTGCGCTCCAACTCGCGCATGTACAACAGATACTTCCTATTAGATCCCGACATGCGCTGGCTACGCTGGGAACCGTCAAAGAAAGATTCAGAAAAGGCCAAACTGGAGATAAAAAGCATTAAGGAGGTCCGCTTGGGAAAGAAAACTCCGGTTCTGCGCAGCAACGGGCTCTCGGATCAGTTCCCTGATGAATGCGCCTTCTCGATCATTTATGGTGATAATTACGAGTCCCTCGACTTGGTTGCTAGTACGCCAGATGTCGTCAGCACCTGGGTGATGGGCCTGAGGTATTTGGTGTCATATGGTCGGCACCCGGTGGACATCGCAGAGCCAAGCCAACCGAGTTTGCGAACATCATGGATTGGCTCAGTGTTCGAGCTAGCAGATATGGACAAAGAAGGGCACATAGACCTGTTTAAGGCCACCCAGATAATTAAGGGCCTGAACCCTGGAATGAAAGAATCTAGAATAGAGTTAAAGTTTAAAGAACTACAAAAAGCTAAAGACCAATACGGAGAAGCAATAAATATGGACACGTTTGTGGAGGCCTACTGTGAGCTTTGCACACGACCTGAGATCTTCTTCTTGCTGGTGCAGTTCTCCAGTAACAAGGAGTATTTGGACAGTAAAGATTTAATGTTATTCGTAGAGGTGGAGCAGGGTGTGGAAGGTGTAACGGAAGAAATGTGCAGGGATATTGTTCATAAATTTGAGCCATCTGCCAAAGGCAGGGCAAGAGGTTACCTCTCCCTTGGTGGCTTTACACACTACCTCCTCTCCTCGGAATGCCACATCTTTGACCCCCAACACAAGCGAGTTTGCCAGGATATGTCCCAGCCTCTGTCGCATTACTACATCAACTCCTCCCATAATGCATCCCTACTGGAAGACCATTTCTGGGGTTCATCAGATATCAGCAGCTACATCAGAGCTTTGAAAATGGGCTGCCGCAGCATTGAGGTCATTGTTTGGGATGGTCCAGACAATGAACCGGTAGTTTATGTGGGAAGCTCGGTGGCCTCACAGCTGGCCTTCTCTAAAGTCCTGGACATTATTAACCAATATGCTTTTGAGAGCTCTGAATACCCCCTGATTCTGTGTTTGGTGGCCCACTGCTGCATCCTCCAGCAGAGGGTCATGGCCCAGCATATGAAGAAGATACTTGGTGAAAAGTTGTATGTCAGCCCCCCAAACAAAGAGGAAATCTACCTACCTTCCCCCGAGAAGCTCAAAGGCAAAATTCTCCTTAAGGGTAAGAAGCTTCCTCCCACCTGCGCCGATGCTGAGGGTGATGTGACGGATGAGGAAGAAGGTTTGGAAATGTCTCGAAGAGTAGGATCTGATGAGAAGGACCAACTAAATGGCTTAGGGTACAGGAGACTCAGACTGTGCAGGGAGCTCTCTGATCTTGTATCTCTCTGCAAGTCAGTACAGTTCAGGGACTTTGAGATTTCCAAGAGGGACCAAAAGTTCTGGGAGGTTTGTTCCTTCAATGAGGTAGATGCAAACAGATTTGCCAACGAGTTCCCAGAGGAATTTGTATGTTATAACAAGCGCCTGCTGTCCAGGGTTTATCCCACGCCTATGAGAATTGATGCCAGCAACATGAACCCACAGGATTTCTGGAAGTGTGGCTGCCAGATTGTGGCCATGAACTACCAGACGCCAGGCTTGATGATGGACCTGAACCTCGGTTGGTTCAGACAGAATGGGAATTGTGGGTATGTTTTGCGGCCAGCCATCATGAGAGAGGAGGTCTCCTACTTTAGCGCTAATGCCCGGGACTCCCTTCCAGGGGTTTCCGCACAGCTTCTTCATATTAAGGTGATTAGTGGACAAAATCTGCCTAAACCTCGTGGCTCGGCTGCCAAAGGTGATGTAGTGGAGCCGTACATATACGTGGAGATCCATGGAATCCCAGCTGACTGTGCCGAGCAAAGAACCAAGACTGTATCCCAGAACGGTGACAATCCTATTTTTGATGAGAGTTTTGAATTCCAGATCAATTTACCAGAGCTGGCAGTTCTCCGCTTTGTAGTGTTGGATGATGACTACATAGGAGACGAGTTCATTGGGCAGTACACCATTCCATTTGAGTGCCTACAGCCAGGGTACAGGCATGTACCCCTGCAGTCCCTCACAGGGGAGTTCCTACAGAACACCACCCTGTTTGTCCACATAGCCATCACCAACCGGCGAGGAGGCGGAAAGGGTAATAAGAGGGGTCTGTCTGTAAGGAAGGGCAGAAAGGCTCGGGAGTACACCACCACCAAGACCACGGGGATCAAAATTGTGGACGAGCTGTTCAGAGCATCCACCCACCCCCTCAGGGAGGCCACTGACCTCAGAGAGAATGTGCAGGTAAGGATCTACACGAAACCATTTTATTTTAATTATTGGTGAAACATGGGAAACCCTTTGTGTTGAAATGTGATTAGACCAGTGATTCACGTGGCACACTAGTGTGGACAATTATGCAATGTCACTTAATAGGTCCCAAAACTATTATTTATTTATTGGAAATATTATTTCTTTGTTCATCAATGCGTGACAGGCAGATCAATTAAATACTCTTCTGCTAGGTGGCAGCAGGTGGCTATTAAAACTTAATCAGAGTTGTTGAAGAAGATCTTTGTGTCTTTCTTCAATTCCCGCCAGTATATCAGTGTTGTCTTTAGTCTGATAGTCAGTCTCTAAGGAGCTTTTTTATCTTCATATTTTCACTTTTTGGCCTCATTTAATATATTGTTGTATAATGGGCTAATTGTGCTTTGTTTGTCTTATAAAACAGAACAGCAGTGAAGTAATATTGCTGGGCAATTCATAAAGTTATGAATAGTGCACAGTTACAATTACTGCTCAGTGGAGAGGAGTGTGATACTACAGTAGGCACTCTCAGTACTTGACTTTAAAACTCCTCGGTCGAAGATTAGTAATAATTGAATTGACACGCTTTGGCTAATTACTAGTCCAGGCCTGGAGGTGCAGTTTATTATGTTTCTTCAGACACAATGACTGAAGAGTTCAAAATGTACTCTAATTAAAGATAAATACCGTATTAAGGATTTTTTTAGACAAAATTATTGCTTAAAATTATTAGAAATCCCATTGGACGATGAGATGGATGATCCCAACTTTTCTGACAAAGATGGAACAAAAACTTTAGCTATAATTATGTTATGTAACTTTTGTTTGATATGGAGATAGTCACAGATGCTACAGTCTGTGTCCTTATAGCACCTGGTCATTATAAAAAATGTAATTAGGTGGACAGAGGATTAAATTAACCTGATGAAACAGCATCAGAGTCGAATCAGTGCTCTGATCTATCCTAAAGGTTTGAAATGGAAATTTTTTTTTTTTCCTTTCAATTACCGAGATAAAAGTTGCTGGGGAAAGTGCTGGAGATAAAGTTTAAAGTCATTATAAATGATGAATAAAAGCTGAAAAAGAGCCTTGTTTTCTAAATGTTGAAAAAAAAAGTCAAAGCCTTTCATAGAGGGGCTCATTACCATGGATCTATAGAGGCTTTGTGTGGGTGGAGGGGGGAACAGTCCACAACGTGGCAACAGTGCAGGACGTTTCTGTTTGCCTTGACAGTTTGGACTCAAAGTCAAGATGTCTATATGAGGAGGATACTATGAATACTATCAAAGAATGCTATGAAAATCTATGTATCCCACAATAACAAATAACAATAGTGAAAGTTTCTAAAATGCACTTTTGATCAATATGTTTCAAATGGTGGGTTGCAACCCCTAAACTGGCTTGTGAGACTGAATGATAGCAATTTTCTCAACTCAACTTTTTTGGCCTTGATATTTATGGCTGGTCAGAAAAAACTTTGCCAAGATCCAACATGTTATAGAAGCACATGCTATTGTGAATATCACTGACCATTTCCTGATTGGTGCAGTACCCGTGTTGCACATGAGCAGAGGAGGCATGAGATAGGGTGAGATGGAGACAAATGATTCGCTCTGGCGACCCCTGAGGGAAACAACCGGAGGATGTAAAAGTGGAAGATGATTTATGTTTTTGTGTTTTGTTCAATAATTAAAAGTGCAGATGAAGGCATTAGTGCCTATGTTTCCTTCCTTCCCTGTATTTGTTGCAACCTTGGTCCTATTCATTCCCAATCAATGCTGCAGAAAGACGGGCAGAATAAAGAAAAGGGAGCCGGAGAGAGAGATTGAGATTGAGAGAGAAAGGAACAAATGCTGTGTTGTAACTGGACACAAAGCTCTTATTTGGGAATGCTGAAGGGTGTGGGGGTAAAATCAGGGAAAAGGCAGTAATTAAAAACACACTCAGCTCCTCAATGGCTTTGTATCAGCAGAACAGTATAGCTTTCATTGCATGACAATTATCCAGAAACATTTGTGCATGCGGTCCCCTACACATATGCATGCAATTAAAGCACGCACAATGAATGCTAACAACCCCAAGTTGGACCACACTGAGACACAAACACCTAAGTGCTCACAGTTCACACACGGTCACAGTCACGCATTGTTTGCCGAACCCCCCGCATCAGAGCTGTTCTGGTTCTCACTGTTGTTGTGTGTTTTTCCACGGCTCTGTCCAACGGCCTGAGAGATGTTAGCAGTAGATGGGGTTCAGCATACAGAAAAGGGCTGTGTTCCCTGGCCAGTCTCCTTATCTACAGGAAGGTCAGGCTCTGCAGCACTACATCCTCTCAGAGAACAGAGAAGAGTAGAGTGAAGTCCTTGGGGAACAGCTGATTCCCACACTGCGGCGTGTGAGCACCAGGCATAGCCGGAGGCTGGACCTGGGGTAACCATATAACCATATATATATATATACACACATATATATGTGTGTGTGTGTGTCAGTCAGGAATTTAGAGTTAAAAAGAGTTCTTGGAGCAAAGCTGTGGACCATCATGAGTGGCAGGGAAGTATATGTGGGTGGTGCCATACGAGACCACTATGTGCAAACAGTTTTGCAAAGCTAAAGCAAGCATTGGGAACGGTTTTGTTTTTTGACTGGTTTCTCCAAATGTTTCCTCAACAATCTGAGGGTTTGATGTGAAGGTTTGGTTAAGATGTAAAATATCAAATCCCATCTACATTATCGGGAATTGTCTAGAACGAGAAAAGTACAAGAATGGATAGGGTCAGCCACTGGATTGGATTCGTTTGTCGGGTTTCATGTCCTTCATGTTTGTGCATAGGTTTTGGAAATGAAAAACCCTGGGTGTGAAAGTGAGTGTGAACTGTTGTTTGTCTGAGCCTCAGATGGACAGCTGTCTTCTCTAGTATGTCACCTGTTTTTCAGACAGTTTCACTTTCACAAATCCTCTATATATATACGGCTGAAGAGATTACCAAGCCAATGGCCTGTCACAGCTTGTTACATGGCCGTCGCAACAGCTGCGCCAGACAGGAAGAAGCACCGAAGGAAAAACTACAGCTGACTAATTTGACTGGACACTAGAGACACAAGTTGGCAGATTCCTTCACTGCCTTTCACTACTTTCCTTTGGCAGAGGCTCTGCACTTAAGTAATTCACAAACGCTACACATGTAGGCAAACACATTTCCATAAGGAAACAAGTAGGAGGAGCTGGATCACTGTGTGATAAATGATAACGAATTGATTACAGATATTTTTTTTAATTATTGCTTTAACATTTTTGCTTTTTTATATTTTTTATTTTTTTTAATTTTTAAATTCATTTTTTTGTAAATGATTAAATGATGTGCACTTTCTATAACATGTTGACTGCGTTACCACTGTATTTCTTTGATTTAAAGCTCCTCCAGTAGAATGTAGAATTAAGAATAACATAAAATACATTTAAAAAAATAATCTTTTAAAAAGCGTTGTGCCTTGTATGAGGTCTCTTTTTACTTTGGCATGCCTGATACACAAATTTAAAAAAGGGAAATAAATATAGTGTTTTGACAGAAATCTGAGGATATTCCATAAATTGGTGCAGCTGATTAAAAAAAACCTTAATGACCATGTGTTGTGAGATAAGTATTGGTAACTGACGACAGATTTAGGTCACAGGGGTTAAGGAGAAGATTAGAGACATATGGGGGATATTTTACTGTGCATTTGTCCAATGAAGGAACAAGAAAATCTCAGTTTCTCAGAATGTCTGTGAGGTGCTGAATTTAGAACAGTTTATTCTTATTATTATTTTCCAAAATTCAATAATTTTCTGATGAATTCTCACCAGTATATTTTCTTCTCTGTGTATGTTTTTGATTCCAAGAATGCCATGGTGTCCTTTAAGGAGCTGTGCGGTCTTACCCCAGCAGCCAATATGAAGCAGTGCATTCTCACGGTTTCCACTTGGCTGATGAACAGCGAGCGGTCGCTGCGGGTCACGGTGGACCTGAGTGAGACGTACCCCACCATGGAGGCCCAGGGTCCAGTTCCAGAACTGTTGCGCAAAGTGCTGAACGCCTATGACATGGTAAGTGACCTTAGCACAGAACATCGGACCTTCAGACAGAGACGATCGTGATGTTGATAAGATTATTTTGAAAAAAAAAAAAAAATTAATCAGATTACCTGTGGACACAGACAGGGGGCAGGGGACAGAGGACAGGGAGGAGCTGATTTAACCTGTGGACACAGACAGGGGACAGGGGACAGAGGACAGGGAGGAGCTGATCTGACTTGAAGTATTTGGATTCCCTGTATTTATATCACTGCAATACTGACAACATAGGTTGATAACAACCTTGTTAGCATCAAACATGCTAGCTCAGGTAAACCGATGCTCTTCATAAACTCTCAGACGTTACGTTCGAGGAGTTCTTGCCTCTGTGCTTTGATAAGCACATCTTGCTCTTTGCAGATTTCCATAGATGCTGCACTCACAAAAAAAAAAGACAAAGACAAACAAAAAGAACCTCGCAGCAGATTTTTTTTATCTCCTTTAACAGAACACAGCTGTGATTCAGGCCTCAGTGTGTTTTACAAGGCTTTCAGAAAAGACTGAAAACACTTATTTGATCAGTCACACCGTCGGGCCGCAGCTACCCATTGTATCATTTCTCATGTCTCCCAGTTCTGCCTCCTGTGCTGCCAAAACACTGCAGACAGAGGTTTTGTTATTAGTTATCTCCAGTTCATTCTACAAGCCTTTATCCTGCCGCTGAAGATGGAACGGAGCCGGTGAAGTGGGTGACGCTGTTGTTGTTGTTGTCGTCGGTTGTTCTCAGGTCATCAGCTTGGCTCTGCTGACATCAGGAGTGACGCACCATGCAGCTCAGAAATGAAGTTTTATGAACCTCTAACCGAGCAGGACGCCTCATAATCCTGTCGGAGCAAAGCTCCGGCTCCAGCCTGACAACATGTTCTCTGGGTCGACGCTAGAGTGTGCCCTGTGTCTTATAAGATTCAAATATTTGTACATTTAGTCATGTTTTACGGTATTAAAAAAGACAGTGGTTTGCAAAGCAACGCTTTGTTTAGATTAATTCAATTTGAGGGTGCTGAGCCGTGCTCCTATTGGACAGCTTAGCTGTCAGTCAGACATTCTGACAACTACAAAGGAAAATTTGCCTTTTTTAACAGCTGCCTCTTTTTCTTTAAGAATGATATAACTGACTGACTGATTTTATTTTATTTCTTTAGCTATATTATATATATTTGATCTTTTTGGGCGACCTTAGCTAACTGCCTTTAGCATCTATGCTAGACTAAGATATATCTATCTTCTCAAGCAAGATTAGGGAATTGGGTATTTTTTGTGCAATTTTATATGTTTGAGTTTTATCTAAGTTAGTTTAATAGTTTTCTGCCTGTCAAGCTTTTATTTATAGGCACTTTTAGGCTATCTTTGTTGCTAACCTGTAGCTACAGGGATTAAGGAAAAAATGTCTTTTTTAAAGGGCATTTAAAGACACATAAAAAATGGAAATACAGCACATTGTTAATTTTTAATGTCATTTTAACCATTGGTCAAAAGAAATCTAGAATTCCTCCTGAGGATGTTAATGCATGTTAAAAAATAAATTGACACCCCCTACCCCCAAATGACTATTTTAATTTTAATATAATTTAATAATTTTATATTTATAATAATTTTATATTTAATAATTTTAGTTTCATTTGGATACATATTTGCTTAAAAACGTTGCAGCCTTAGTCATTAGAATCAATCACATTAACCTAGTTCTGAATTCATGGCAAATGGTTGTGACCAAACAGGACATAGCTGCCAACATCAGGCCATTTACTGTCAGACGGCCCCTTACTGTACCAGTGTAGCTCATGCACCTGTTGACGTATTAATTAAATGACATTTATTGGCCTCTAATGTTCAACTTTACCCTAAATTCTACTCCATACCAGAACCATGTTTGATTTACTGTATACCTATTAAACTTCTGTGTCCATTCGTCTTCATGTTGGTCATTAATAATTGAACAGACGTTTACGGCACTCGTGTAGCGAACCAACAGTCCTGCAGGGGTGAAATGTTCTACCTTCTGCAATCTGGAGACCAGTTATACCAGAAGTGTGAGCTACAGTAATTTCTAGCAATCATCATAGAAGAATAGAAAAACACGAGAAACACACGGAAACGCACCCTGGGTCAATAAGACCGACAGATACAGGATGGTGATTTGACTTACAGTAACACTAAAACCAGCTCCCTGGCAGAACAAGAAGGAGCACGCACTCGCACGCACCAGAGAGTCTACTCCCTGTCTCCTTGCTAACTGCTGCAGGGCTAGTTCAGCTCGGCTCAGCTCAGCTCCTGGGATCACGGTTAGGGTTTGGAATACGCCATGCTGCGACGGTCTGATGCAAAAGTGAAGGTAGAAATGGTAACCTGGATCTGCCTGTGACCGCCCCTCGCCCCAAGCCTCCCCACCACTGTACACAGTAGACATTGTCGACATGCTTACTTAAGGTGGTTCAGATGAAGTTCAGATGAATTTACAAGGGAGCTAATTGTTTCTGCGTGCAACCTTTCCAGAACTGTTTTTTTTCTAAGGTAAACTGAAAAAAAACTTAATTTATTTGCGACCTTTTTACTGTGATTAGCCTATGGTTTGTCTTTTTGTTACCAAAAGAGCAGTTCACACTGAACTGCGTCAGGTCTAACAGAAAAACAGGAGCGGCGGCTCCCTTTATTTTGCACAAAGATCGGCCCTTCGTGTGATAATTAGGTGCGACCGTTGAAAGAAGCTAATTATCCTCCTGCCCGTGGTGTTTGTCTTTTATTTATTTAATTAAAACTCGTCCGGTTTTTACGATGTATTTAAATGGACTGTGTATTTCAGACAAACTTGTGTCGCCACGAAGGCCTCCGTCTCACGCGGACGTGTTTGACGAACCTGAGTGGATTCTTCAACGCTTCCTATCCGATTCCGCTTTATCGCTGAACATTTTCTTTGGCCTCTATAACTCTTTGTTATAATGGTATTTTGATGAAGAGCCAAAACATGTATTTATTTTAAAAACCTTGGTTAAACACTGATCCCTTTCCTTTTTTTCCAGATGATCCAAACCAGCAGAACACTGATCGAGTCGGCCGACGTCGTTTACTCCAAACTCACACAAGCACAACGCGCCGGTAAGATGCCTAACTTGTTTATTTTGGTTTATAATTGGATTAAATAACAAAGATTCTCTGACTTTGTTATCTGATATTTTCTAAAATTAATTTGGTGACATTTAAATACAGATCCTAACCGATTCGGAAATTAAATACAAAATTATTTTACCACAAAAAAAACCCATCTGATTCACTGGCCTTTTTGTTTCTTAAAAAACAAAAAAAAAACTGACTTAAAGTATAATAAATTCCTCAAAAGAAACTGACTTAAAGTATAATAAATTCCTCCCAGGATTTGGACCGTATGAAAAGCTGATGACAGCTGAGAATTTACACGATGTGTGTTTGTGGTGTGTCCTTGTGCTTAATGGTATGAATGCAGTGCGTTTACGCTCTCACGGCATCTCCAGAGACGACTGTGGCAGCTGGTGACAGAGCAGAGTCTGCATCGCCGTGTCATTATCATGTCAACGAACAGGTGACAGGGGCGGCGAATGTAAACATCGACCCAGAGGTGGAGAAAATCAAACAGTTTACACAGTGTGGAATAAAGTAGAGAAGAAGAAGAAGAAGAGAGAGGAGAGAAAAGATGAATATACATTCAATTTAAAAAAAAATTAATAAATAATGTTACGTTTGACAGTTCGTGAGAGAAGATAAGTCTCGTAGCTTAATTATCTCGAAAGATATGGCTTCAAACCAATAACCTGTGCCTCTCATCCTCTCCAGTTTTTCTTACATCAATCACTCTTGTTTATTTATCTTAACCTTAAAGAACCCCTGAAAGAAGCAGCAGACATCATTATTCATTTATCATGTTTGCGCTTCTTTAAAATGCTAAAACCACATGTAAAATTCAATAAAAATTGTAAAAAAACAAAAAATCTTGATAAACAGAAAATGAATAACAGTAAAGAGAAACAAAAATCACCTTAAATAATTAATAATATTATCTTTGATCACACCCAAAGGCCTAAATAAAATAGGATCAAATAAAATAAAAATAATAATAAATACAGTGAAAAACAAAGCAGGATACAATTTAATGAAAGCCATAAATATCCGGTGCAGTGGATATTATGTCTCATGGGTGACGCTCGTTGATGTGATTCACTGGTTAGTGGCATTTAAACGCAGGCTGTTTTATAAGAGTGTATTTTAAAAGGTGTTAAAGCCCGAGCTGATCTGACAGTAGGAGGTTTTTCAGCTTTGAAGAGAACAGAGTGAGAAAGACTTTGATTCATACATGGTGAAGTAGGCCTGAGCCGGACCGTGACTGGCCCAGATACAATTTTTAAAATGTCAGCAGTGATAAAATATCCAAACTTCATTTTGTTTTTTTTTCACCGCTTCATATGAGTGAGTTATGCCTCAAGACAGTGGTTCTCCAACTTTTTCTACTCTGTACCACCAGAGAAAACACTGATCTCTCTGAGTACCACCATAATGACCAACATTAGCATATAGCAGCGTAGACCTTCCCTGTTAGCTTCCACCACACAGGAGAGATGTTTATGTTTAAATGTTGTATTAATCGTGCATGGTATGTTTCAGATATATTCAATTGGAAATGGAAAAATATAGAAAGAGTGCTCGCGTACCACTGGTGGTACACGTACCACAGATTGAGAACCACTGCATTAATATGTACAGTATTTTTACAGAAATACAGCAGTACTTTTTAAAATCGACCGTCATAAGTTGAGCTACAGTTTTACTGGATCTATCCCCTGATTTATTTTGCTTCTAACTACTATTTTATTTCAGAAGCAAATCATTCCAGCATCAGTGAGTTTTGTGGTTTAAAAGTTCATTTGAAAATGAAAGGACCCAACAGATGTTTTTAGGTTAGCTCTTGTGTTTTGTTTTTTTTTTCTTGGCACTAGGGACAGGGGGACTTGACCCCCTGAGATCCATAGTGACCCCGATCCGTCTCCCCCACTGGCCCGTAAATCATTGTTACTCTACAAACATTTGTTTTCCTTCATTTCTCTGAAAACTAAAAGAATGGGTGGAGCGTACGTATGGTGGTCATCATCTATCAAAATGTTTAAATTACCGAGAGAAATCAACAGTGTTTGTGTTGCTCACTGAACACATTTTCAAACAGGCTCGAGGCTAGTAATGAACCTGCTGTTATTCTGCAGTACTTCTCATTTGAAGTACAAACATGGAATTATTATGAGTTTCAATCACCAGTTCTCAACACAAGAATAGGATTATGTAAGAAACTGTGAAGATGCAGTGGGGCTGGGGGATGGAGCACAGGCCCTGTAGGGCATCAGCTGCATGCCAAACATAGCACCTCCCCCGCCCCCCGTCACCTAGCCCCACTCCACTGCCCCTGGCACTAGCACGAAGGACTGAACTGGCGCCTCTGAAATATACATGGTTTCTCATCTGTTCATCCGTGCATTCACACATATTTCCTGAAGTTGTCTTTATAATCATTATATATCATTGGTCTGAAAACTATAACTTAATTTAATTTATTTACTTAGGATAAGTTGTCTTCCTTCGTGCGACAGTAACAGGTAGAACAATTAAATACTTTTTCATTCGGGGGATGGCAATAAAAACTTTTAAGTTTCAGAAGATTCAGGTTTTGAAGGACATCTTCGAGTGTGTCTTTCTTCAACTAAACAGGAACAGGTTTCACACTGAATGAGTAATTCATGAGTAAATTATAACTAGAGGATCGTGTTGGGACATTTTTTTGCCTTTTTGAGTCTTTGAAGCTTGTTAGCCTCAGCACCTTTAAGTTTCAGTTACTGTTTTCCCACAATTCACAGTATGTGAGAGTCACATCATTCAAAGCAGACATTCAGAGAAACCAGAGAGCAGACAAATATAACAGTGTTTGAGCCAAGCAGAAAAGGAAACAGACCATGAGTCCAGACCTGACAATTATACAGTCTATGCACAAAATTTCTCACTCATTAAAAAAAAAAAAAAAAAACTGGAGGCTTCCCTTCAGCTATAGACATTCAATTACTTTCTGCCACCACCGAGGGGCTCATTATGGGCTGTGTATAATGCTGCTTTCAACTGAAGGTTGTAATTAAGAAACTTGAAATCTCTATTCTTTAATCTCAGAATGTTTATCATTTTCCTATTAAAGCTGCGACATTAGGAAGGTGGACGATCTGTAATGTTGGTGGGCAACTGGTCAAAATGCACGGTTCTATGAACACCAGCGAGATCCCAGGTCAGGTTGTCAGTGGAAGGTCATCTGCTAATTCACTATGTGTAATACCACTATAGCGCCCCCTGACAAAAGGACAATCCAAAAGTTATTATTCTTTATTTTTCTACTTTAATTTTCCATTTAAGTCGAATGACTTCTGCAGATGGAGTTACGTCTGTGGAATTCCGGGGAACGAGGTCAGGACCTGCTTCATTGTCTAGTCTACATCTAGTTCTTTTCAGACGGTCAATTTTTGTAAAAATTGTTTCTATGATTTAAAAAAAAAATTCTTGAGGCTTAAAGAAAACCTGTCATGTCTTGTGTCCCGTGGTACAGTGGATGAGAATCACTGTTATATACTATTCCTATACATTACCATTCATTTATTGAATAGAGCGTATTGGTTTGGTGTACTATTTCAACATTGGTGTGGTGCTTCACTTGAAGTCTGGGTCACGGCCTTAAGATACTTACAGAACGAATAACGTCTGTCTCAGAACTTTTTGACTCTTTGATAATGGGAAATTAATGCCAGTGTTTTATTTTGTAAATGCAGATATAATAATAATCATCATCATGATATGTCCTTTACAGTAGACTTAACCACACTATAAATACAGTGATGGTATTTAAGATAATTGTAGGGTAAAGAACACAGTGTAATGAGTGACACCTCATTATCATCCAGGCTGTAACGACCCAACACCCACTTCCTGTATCAGTTTATTTTTCATTTGCATATTCAATATGCGTTCCGACATTTCTTCTCATTGTGGCCTTTGACCCCGTCCTAGGCCTGTCTGACTGTTTGCCTGTATGAAAAGGCTCTTCATTTTAAAATGTATGAGTAAAGAGAAATATATCTATTTACCCACACTTCCACGCCGGTACATTATTTAACACGTAACACCTGAAATATTGCTAAGCCACCAGGGGGAGTCTGAATTATTCATAGCCACAGCGTTATAACTTGACCTTCATTGAGTTGAACGGGTGACAAATAGAAAGGTGGAGAGGACGGAGCCATAAACCACTCCAATCTAATTTTACAATCACAGTCGGTGGCTCTGATAAAATGGCTCACCAATTCACCCGCCTCCCCACCCTCACCCATCTCCCCCCTGTTATTCTGTCATCTTTGGCCTGTTAGACCAGGGTCTGAGTACATTTATCAGGTTTTATTCTGCCGGGAATAAAGAAGTACAAAAGAGTTTTGGATGAAGCGTTTAATAAAACATTTCATTTATTTCCACTGCTGGTTGGAAGGCGTGAATTCTGCCCTTTTGATAGACTGACAGGCCGTCAATGCAGCCGTCAAAAGCCAATTTGTAGGACATGGGGTTCTGGAAATGGTTGCAGACAATAGCGACTGTCTGAATGCAAGACAAAAATAAGCAAGATGTAAATGTGAGGGCAGAGATGAAGCTCATTTTTTTTATTTTCTCTGATCAGTTTGGAAGCCGAAGGTATAATTTTTGTGAAATGGCTCTGTGGGGAGGCTGAAAAGGTGCCATTAGATAATGGGCTGTGACTATCCAAAAGAGAATACAGGATGGTGTGTGATACGTGTGTGTCTGTGTGTGTGTTCGTGTGGCCTTTTGATTAAACCTGACACTTCTGTCCTGGCCATTTAGAGTGCACTGTGCTCATCAGCCAAATGCTGTTTAGACAAAGCCATAATCATGATGACACACTTTCTCTGATCGGAAGTCAGTGACCTGAACTAGCCTCTCACCTTTCATTTTAAATATGAGAAATACCACAGTGAGTGACTGACTGAGTGCAGATTGAACATCCTGATGCAATATGGTCGGAATTTTAAAGTCTTTCTAGGTACAACGTATCAGGGTCACATTGAGAAAAAAAATGATGAATAAAATAAGTCGTAGAGATACGAGTCGTAAATTTAAGAGATAAAAGTTGACACCTTAAGAGAAAAAAGTCACAACTTTCTGAACAAAAACGGTTGTCTTTACCAAAGACAGAACCACACGGACCAGGCTGACGTTTGTGATTGCATATTATATACCGTATTTTACGTACTATGAGTCGCTCCAGAATATAAGTCGTGCCAGCCAAAAAATGCCTAGTAAAAAAGAAAAAAACATAGATAAGTCGCTCTGAGTATACAGTAAGTCGCACCAGTGCCCTCTAGTGGCTGTCAGTGTGAAATTAACAAACGTAAATTTTCAAAAATAACTTTCACATAAAATAAATTTATGACTTTTACCTCTTAATTTTCTTTTTTCTTATTCTCAATGCAGTACTCGTCGTACCTAGGTAATTATATTTGCAGTGAAAGTACTTTTTCCCACAGCAAAAGGAATAATACAAAACTTTTTTTTAAAAATATCAACATCGTGATTCTTGGTTCTTAGTTTAATCCAGCAGGGGGCGAGAGGGGGTGTTAAAAAGTGATTATTTTGGTATAAAGACACTTAGAGAAAAAACAAAAAACATTGTGTTGAGGTCCCAAGATGAACAGGTTGGATCTTCTCTGGATCCTATTTCCCAGCAGCCCCTTCTGCGTTTCCTCCCTGCTTCCTGCGTTCAGACCATGCCCAGTCATTATTGCATCTAATCAGTTTAATTTGGGCAGTGAAGCTGACGTGTTGATGAGGATGGAGAGGTGCTTGATGATCCCTCCCGGGCAATATTGATGGCTCTGCATTGCACACACCACTAATAGGCGAGCAGACAGACAGCTGGGATGAGCACTCTGGCACGTCCAGATGCTGCCACTGTGTGCTCGTGTGCCTGAGTCTACAGTAGACCTCTGCCCACTGGCTAATGAATCTGCATGCATATCTAATCTATAAACTCCCACTCCATCTCACAACCAGCCTGAGCTGTCCTCGATGCTTCAACGCTGTGGCTTATTTTTTTTCCGGTGTCGGTCACCAACACACAGAGACTTAGAATGAGACTGAGGTGAAGCCATGGTAGAGGCTACACCGCCATATAGAAGGCTCAGGGCTTCATTACAGCATGTATACCAGGGATTCTCAACCTCCAGTCTGGGGACCTGTTTCAGGTCATTTGATGCCGGGTCGCAGAGGGACACAGTGAAAAAATGTACTTCAGTTTTACTAATTTACTTCACTCTAAAAGAAGTCATATCCCTTTTGCTAGCAGCAATTACTTTCATTCATTTTCTTCTTCTTCTCTGGAGGATGTTGTTTGTTATTTTCAGGACAGTCTTATTAAATGCTGTTATCATGCTTCTGACCTGTCGGACGATCTGGATCCTTTTGCCTATTCCTCAGTGATTTTAGTTGACGATGTCTGCCTGAGCTGCTCCTCCTTTTTTCATCATCCAGCTAATACCTCATTTAAAAAAACAAACTAAAAACTATACAGCTACTTAGCTATATAGCCAAAGCTATTTTGGCTCATTGTGTTTAGCTTTTTTTTTTCAAATATAGGAGCAATGGATGAATGGATGCATAGATGCATGGATTGGTGGATGGATGAGTGGATGGATGGATGGGTAAGAATATTAACATCCAGACATGAGTAGTAAAATACATGGGATCAGCAAAGTGAAATGTTTGGTAGTCATCTCTCTAAAAATCATTTGTGTTGTTGAGGTTTTATCCCATAATAAAAACCAAAATTTCCAGGGACAGAGACCCCCAGTCTGGGCTGTGGGCTCCTCATAAATCATCTTTGCTGTGGACTTATCACTCAGGTCTAATCAGGCCTATTTACAGATGCAGAGACTCTGTGCCTGGGCACTGCACAAATCTTTCTATTACTACAGAAATCCGAGGGATACGTTCATGTTCCTTCTTCGTGGCTTCTTTGTCCTAGTCTGCCGTTGTTTTCCTGACTCCTCGCAGTAGGAAAATCCATTTTCTATTCTCAGTTACCATGCAGTGTTCTTCTCAGCTCTGCAGTGTGTATGACTCGACAGTAATGAAATAGTGATCCAACTGACCCTCTTGTTGTCCTTCTCTTCTCTTTGGTTTCATCATTTCTTGTCATCAGATCCTATTCCTGTTTTTTAGTTTATTTTCCTCTCTCTCTCTCTCTCTCTGTCTCTCTCTCTCGCTCCCTGTCATTCTGTGTCTCTCTCTCTGTCTCTCATTCTGTTTCTCTTCCTGTGTGTTTGGAACATCAGAGGTGCAGCCGCTGCAGTACTCATTACTAAAGCAAACACTCTGTAGAGTCGACGCAGACTGAAATCCTTTCCCAGGCTTTTATCTGCATATGTGTGTGTCCGCTCAGATTTTTATGTCTACTCACTCTTTCTGTTCCTGCAAGTTCTAAAAGTCCTCTCCATCCCAGTGGGCTCTGTGGGCCACATTTTTGCTTATTACCTCAGATTTCACAGTGTTAAGTGACAGTAAAGAACATCAGCTGGGGGACTGTTTCAGAGAGAGAAATAAACTGGATAATTGGAAAATGAAATGCTCTGTAGAGGAGGTATTGTGACAAGCCACCTCCAGCTAATTTCATCTGTGATTCGGCTCGGTGCCTGCCTCAGTGCCAGGGCTCTGTGATCTCGGGCTGCTGCTGCTCAAATCGCTCTGCGCTGGCTCAATAACTCCACTGGATTACAACATCAAATCAATCCTGAACTCTGTTAACACAACTTTGAGGCTAAAACACCGTTTTCTTTTTCTTCCTGCACCGCTTAAACTGTAGCTTTAGTGTCTGTAATTATATGTAAACCTTAGTTTTAGCCACAGACGAACAGAGAGTGTCGCATTACGACCTGATATTCCCACATCAGTCTTGCTACGCTAGCTCTTGGCTTGATGTAGCATTAGGTCAGGTAGCTAAACTTAAACTTTTCAGTTTCATTTCATTTTAATATAAATATATATATGTATGTATGTATGTATATACAGTAATTTAACAATGTTTTGCTATTTTCATAGTTATAGTTAATGCATTGCTCTTTCTGAGCTATTGTTTGTCCATCAATCTATGCTAATCTAATCTTTTAGCATTTCCATTGAAGAACTATATATACAATTCTTTCTTTTTCTTCTTCTTATTTCTTTTCTTTTAATATAATATAGCTTATTTAACAGTGATATGTGTTGACTAGTTTTTTTTTTAGTTTTCTTCTTATATACGTAAATATGATTTAGCCTTTTTTTAAGGGCAATCTTTGGACACTATTCTTTCCTCGTGTATTTCACTAAGTATTAAATACAAACATTGTGTCTTCTACATCCGTCGTTGGGGTTGTGGCTGGGGTCACGGGTACACGTCTGTCAACACGTCAGTTTAGCTAGGAGAGTCTTTCACTTGACAATACAGACACCTGGTGGCCGTTGTCCTTGTCCCACGTTGCCTTGTGACTCACGGAATTCTGAAGGCTGCTGTTCTGAGTGACATGTCTCCCATTCAGAACCCATTCACACATTTGAACGGTGGCGGACCATTGCAAATCGGTGGAAATAATTAATAAGTAAATGACCTTCACTGATGTTAATCACGGCCTACTTTGTTTGGTCAATACCTGCGGTGCATCGTGAGGTCAGTTGTCAGGGACAGATTAACTAGCAGCGGGGACTGGCAGCCTCAGGAGGAGTGTGTTTTGACTGCCTGCAGAATTAAAAAAAAAAAAACAATGTGTCTGAGACAAATGAATCTGGACTTGGAGATGAATTAACTGAAGGCAGCCCCCCCCCCCTGTTGCATTACCTCAATCTCACCCCTATTAATAACATGGCATATTGAATACTTTTACACTGGCCCAGGGCAGACGCTGTTGTCCAATGTTGTTTCCTGTGAAAAATGTGCTGAAGTGCAGCGATATTAACAGAAGGCAGGCAGATGAATGTGCCTGTGCCTTCAGTGTGGAGGTTATGTTTTTGGCTCGTTTAACGTGTTAACAGATTCTTCACAGATTCCCGTCCAGTCAGTGGAAAGGTAGAGGACGTGTTAGACATGAACTTAAAATATGTTGCTTTATTTTATTTTATTTTATTTTTTTTATATACTGCGTACTGTTGGGCAACATTGGTGCAACGTGCGCATGTACATCCATCCTTCCGACAAATAAAAAATATATATGTGAGTGTCTGTCATAGCATTGCATATATACTGCTGTTTTATGCTCCTTTGTGTTTCTGTTCAGGTCTGGACTTCCACGAAGACCTGCATCGCATCGGAGCGAAGGAGGGTCTCAAAGGACGCAAACTTCAGAAGGCCATGGAGAGCTATGCGTGGAACATCACAGTTCTTAAGGTGAGTGGGTAAACTGCTCCACACTGTGGTGGTGTTTAACCCTAGAAGAAATGTCACTGTCACCACTAAAGATGAAACCCCTCCTCCTCTGAAACCTAGGGCTTAAATCATGTGTTTTACAAATGCGTTGCATTGTAAAAAAAATGCATCTAGATCAGTGATTCCCAAAATGGGGGGCATGTTCCCTCAGTTGGCACAGAGCTATTGCAGTGGGGTCAAAGCAAAGCTTTTTTTAGTTGCCACAGTTTGCAATTTGCACAAAATTGTGATTTCTTTGATTACTGTAATGTGTTAAGTAGTTTTATTTATTTTTTATTTAATTTTATTTAACGTATTTCAGCATAGTACATAGATAGCTAGTATTAGCGTGAGAGCTAGGAATTAGACAAACGCTACATGGTAAATAATTCAAAATAGCTAATAAGTGAGCCAAGAATATGAAAAGAAAAGGCAACAGGCTTAACATTTCAAAAATTAGAATTAACCGTTTAAAAATTATTTAAAGGATAATCAGAATATGTCACACACAAATTGCTAAAGGTTAGCAAAAATGACCAAATGTGCTTAAAAAAGCTAAAAAAAAAGCTAAAGGTTAGCCCTGAAATTGTGTAAACATAGGCTAAATTAACGTTGGACAGGCCTGCAACAGAAGACATTGTGTTGGAGACTGTAAGCATCTGGATAAACACCTCAACCTGATGCTAGGATAAAGCTACATCGTGTCTTCAGGAATCACCTCAACCTGATGCTAAGATAAAGCTACATCGTGTCTTCAGGAATCTCCCTCTGGTCATTAACTACATCGCTGATAATCCTCTTAATATTTTAATTCATTGCTGTTAAATCCAAGCACTGTCTTATTTATTTCTTCATGAGTCCACGTTGGCGAGAGTTGATTAGGTCGTTCACACTAATTTGCCAATTCCTCCCATACGTGGAAGCAGGGCCCGGTGGAAATGCTTTGAAGATGAGGCCGAACCACATGCATTCTTGTCTCGGCTCGTCGATGACACGGGAGATAAGGTTTACTTAACGCAGTCGTCTCAGCGGGTCCGTGGAGAGGGGCAGTAAAAGCAGCTCAGATAAAACACCACATGCTGCTCAGGCTGTGCAGTGCACAGCAAGTGTGTTTGGCTGAGTAAGGACAGAGCAGAAGGGATATTTTTATCTCCTATCATCGCTCTGAAATCACTCCGCATTGAGCGAAGAAGCTCCCAGCTGGCCTGGCTTTGCATGGATTTTTCGACTGTGTTTTGTGTGATTGCCGCCTTCTTTCTCTCCCATCCACTGATGGGTGAAGGACGCTATGGGGAGGGGGGGTGGGGAGTGTGTGACTCACTTGCTCTGTCAGTGTCACTTTATTTGCTTTAATCCCCTCATATTTTTTGATGACCTCTCTATTGTCAGTAAATCAAGCTTAACAAAGGCGTAACCATAAAGAAAACAAAAAAATGAGGGCTGGTTTGATCAATATTTTAAATGGAATTGATCATGATTAATCCACAGCCAAACAGCAAGAACTCTACTCTACATGTATGTTTTTCATACACATTTTTAACTAACCTGAATTATTCAGTTATTAACATAGAAAATCTTCAAGAAATATATGCAAAATTATTATTTGATTATTCCCAGTGTATATTAGTGTGGATTAATCGGAATTAATCATCAATAATCGTAAGGTTTTTGGGGGGTTTCTTTTACTCCTAACCTGACTAAATGGTCTTGGCCAATGTTCAGTGCCTTAAAGCGCAGAACCAAATAACTTTCATTCATTGAGGTCACCACAGTACTAACCAGCCGTGGGAATCCTACCACTGTGCCAACGGAGCTCAGTATGGTCACGTTCACTCACAGTAACATGTTCAGCATCCATCTGCTGTCGATGTCTAACTCCGCATTTGCATGTGTTGTATGTGTGGGTGTCTGTTGAGTAGACTCTTATACATGTAGGTTTGTGGTACCTTAGGGCGAACCAGTATATGTAGCCTTTTGTCAAAGCAAATGTGACTCACGTTTTGCGCACACACACGATCCCTCCAACTCTTCGTCCTCCTACTGTTTATCTCTTGTCATTTTCGTCACCTAATGAACATTTGGTGAGAGCCAGTTGGTGTTTGCCAAATACGGCGTCCGTGCCCAGTCACTTCACCTGGTTATCTCTCCAACTCCTCGGCAGCCTGGGAGACACTTGCCGATAGTTGATAGCGTGAGGCTCGGAGTCACGTTATCTTTCTCCTTGTCTTCTTCTTGGCTTTTTCTCAGCCTTTACTTTATAGACTAAGACACACACACAAATATATACATACATATATATATAAATATATACATATATATATATATAATGTATATATGTGCATATATGTATTTGTATGTATGTATGAATATGTATGTATATGTATGCAATTATATATGTATGTATTTTATTTTATTTTTATTTTATACAGTATACATACAGTATATGTATATAAATGTGTGTATATATTTATATATACTGTATAACACATACAGTATATACTTTGCTATCTATAAAAATAATAGACGGCAAAAACATAGACGCAAAAAACCATAAAAAATACAGCTCAGAAATAGAGAAAAAACAAGTCATTGTGAGCAAGAAAATAGTATTTTAATGTACAAGTGACAGAGTGGGTGAAAATAAAAGAGCAAAAAAATGTAAAAATATCTGAACAATAGTTTAAGAAATGCTCAAGAATTGACTTCAACGTCTTGTACAAAAGACAAACGTGGAAAAACTCAGGGTGAAATCTCTGGCGCTGAGGTCTTGTGTTTTTTATTCGATTGTTTAGAAAATGTTCAGTGTTGTTTTAACTACTGGCCCGGCATCTCAACGGGGCCAACCCGGTTAAATAAAAGGTTAAATAAAAACTTTTTGATATTTCCGTGGTTAAATGGATGTTAGTTGTACTCTGTTGTTAACAAATATTTAGAAATAGCCAGTGGTTACGAAGATATTTGCAAAATTCACTAGATGCTAAAAACTAAATTTTAAATGCATCTGATAAGAGCTTAAATAAGCTGACTTAAAATATGTACTGTATGACTCTTTAACTGATGTTTAATAATAATAGTACTAGTAGAAGTAATAATAATAAATATATAATATTATTGATGCAGCTGAAAACCCCCAGAATCCACAGTCATCTGGGACGTCTTGCACAGGGCAGGCTAACAAAAGAAGGGAGCGATTCTCAGACACAAGAAGATACTGTATGCTGACTTACATGGAATTAGATAAGAATTTAATGAGGTTAAAGTGGTGGGATTTAAGGATTCCCTGCATTTGGGCTTAGCCTCCTTTAGCGCTAAGCCAGTCGTGGGGGCAAATGTGCCTGAAACGCTGAGAAGATTGTCGCTCGTCCTGATTTGACTCCCACAGCAGAGAACACACTTCTCACCATCTTTATGCTCAGTGAGTCATTAGTTATATAACTAGGGCTTTTTATGGAAAAAAAACCCAAAACAAAACAAAAACATATGACTTATTCATTGTGGTTTGTTAACTGTTTAGCATTGTGTTAGCCTTCTGTGTTAGCCTTATGACTGTGGAACCAGGGTCTGGTTCAGAGCAGGTCAGAGTGTGTGTGTCAGCGTCTCCATAGGAATGTTAGCTCCTTTAGCTGTCACTCTTGATCAGAGTCCAAAAACGGTCGCTCGGAGGAAAGAAAGAATCGCAACAAGCACGGATAAATAAAGTGGAACGTCAGCTGTGAATGTGCCAAAGTACTGATGTTGAAGGGGGAGAAAAGGTTCCATGTTTAAAGTTCAAACATTCAGCGGGAGTTCTGACAAACACCTAGAGGATTAGTACAAGAGTTCTTCAAGATATCTATTTAATTTATTGCCAGTTCTTAAGCTTCTAACTCAGAAGTGTCCACACGTTTCTGGTTTCAGAGCTACTATCCAAATGACCAGGCTAAAGTGGTCTAGCTAGCTTGAAATCATTAAATATACATATATAATAGAATTATATACAGTATATATACTGTATATATTTTTTAAATTGCTCACGATCTATTGGTAGATTGTAATCTACGTATTGGCCACCGCTTTTCTGAAGTAGTTTTTACTAGCGCCCTCGTACAGTAATTAACAGTTTAATCTATTTAATTAAAATTGTGAAGATAAATCAGATTACTTTTGAACGCGCGTTCAGGCTAGGCTAACATGACACTCAGTTGACCGTAGCTATGAATGTGAGTGGCTCTGTGATGGACTGGACTGATGAATGCTGGGATTGACTCCAGCTGCCCCCCCCATTTCCCTCCAGAAAAACCTGAAGAAGATGAATTATTCAAATATTTGACAGACAGAGCCCATGCTAGATGCCTTGGCTGTATGATGGATGGATTTACTCACTCTCCAGACCCTGTCTTCTGCCTGGTAACCAGGAAACTCAAGAGTCTGACTTAAGAAATCACAGGAGGTACTAATCAGTTACCAAACTACAGCGGTAATGGGGTTTGAAAAAGCTTATGACAGGATTTTGCCCTTTTCACAGTCTTGTTCAAATCAAATTGTTCTGACACCTCACAGGTGGATAGAAATGAGAGAGGGAGTTTTTTTTTCTTCTTTTTTTTCTCCCACATATTCCCATATGGCAAAGCTGAGGGAAGCAGGCAGACATGGCAGCAGCCCAGACTGACTGACAGTGCTGAATAGCAGGACGTCTTCCATGACCCTTTCCTTCACAGATGGTGTGGTTTCATCGCAGGGTGTTCCCAGAAATGACAGTATTGTGGGATAATATCACCGTATGACAGTACTTATCACGGTGGCGCCTGAAACATTGGTTTGTGTTTATTACAACGTAGAGCCAAGGGCTCTAGTACGGCGGTATTATACTGCCCTCTCTTGTCCATTGCCAGGTAATTTTTTTGGGAGAATTCTAACTTCTATTTAACCGTACAGTAGTTTTTGGTGAAAATAAATGGAGCTAAACAAAATATATTTTTAATAACCCACAAGCTAAAATATTAACATTTTTTGTCAATAAATTTAAGCTCCAACTTACTGATTCCTAAGCACGAAATTGATCATTTTTTGGTACTTTAAAATGATTAGCCTCAAGCAGATTTTTATTTCAGCAGATACACTCGGCTACTTTTGGTGGTCAATACAGTATATGAGCTCATTTTACCTCTTGCAAACATTTCTACCTAGAAGTTGCTAATATGCTTATTCGCAACTTAGCAACTGCCTAAAAATAGTTGCTTTGTTATTGGTTTACTTTTAACATTGAAATGATCTGAAATTTCCAGTTAGCTATTTTCTTATTTCTCTAAGAATAAATGTGTATATGTCTTTGTGTGTGTATGTATATATATGTATGTGTGTGTATATATGTATGTATATATATCTATGTATATATGTATATATGTATGTATATATATGTATATATGTATATATGTGTATATATGTACAGTTTTTCGTATCCTCAGACTTACCGTCGGTATGTATGTATATGTATATATGTACAGTCTGTGTATACACAGCTCTCAAGTCAGGTTGGTCCATGCTTCTGTTTCTACTGCCTCAATAGTGTGAATTAAGTAGTTAAGTTGACAAACTTCTTCTTCTTCTTCTTCTTCTCTCTTTCAAACGCAGGGTCAGGCCGATCTGCTGAAACACGCTAAGAGCGAGGCACTGGACACACTGCGTCAGATCCACTGTGCAGCTCAGTCCTGTGGCCTCAGTAAGAACGGAGCAGCCTCCCCTCAGCTCCAGCATCACCCTCTCCACATGGTGCCACAGGTCCAGCTACAGCAGCAGCAGCAGCAGCAGCCTCAGACTAATCCTCCGGCCATCCCTCCACCTTCAGCCATTTACCAGTCCCAACCTCTGCCCCAACCCCACATGGCACCTCAAGCCTGTCTTTATTCCTTACCACAGCCACATCCGCAGCTACTCTCTCTCCCGTTGGTTCAAACTGTCTCTCGACCACCAGCCTATCCTCAACCCCCGCCCCTACCTCAGTTTCAGTTACAGGGCCACCAACAGAGGGCAGCAGGGCCTCTCGAAGCCATCCCCGAGAACGACATGATGGTCGGTGGTGATCTGACGGGATCCTGCTGACCCGCAGCCTGTGCCCACAGAGAAACCTACCCACAGAGAGACGCGGAGGTGAATTTAGAAACCGAGAAGCAGAAGTGTTTCCAGGAAACACAGGAGACCTTAGATGAAAAGAGTATGGAGGAGGTGAAGGAAAGGTTTAAAGAGATGATGGTGGTAAGGAGGACGCGTCGTGCAAGAACCGAGACACAAGTTTAAGAGAAGTATTTGCGCAACGTGGTGCTGTTCTTTGTGGTCGCCTGTCACTCTTAATAGGAAAACAACAACAGAGCGTTCAGTAGTTGAGCGACGAGTTCTCACTGTAACCAAGCTCAACGCCGATGAGTTCTCACTGTAACCAAGCTCAACGCCTCAATCCTAACTTAAAGAACTTAAAATATCATGACAAGTGCTAGGTAACATGAACTATATCCTTGCACGAAAATACTCTCCATGTTTAGCTTTGTCACTACAAAGAAGAGATTACACCTAGTACAACAGTAACATGAGACTCTATTTCTGTCAATCACTTGCAGTGAGGCCACTAGATGGCGCCTCAGCTGTAGATGGAAATAGTGATCATACCACAAAGAGAAGTCTTTGCACAATAAGACAGAGCCTGGTCGTGGTTTATTCGACAATCAAAGTCAATGGAGCAAAACTCTGTTTCCCTAGTTGCCATTGCGTTGTCTCTTTTTCACAGCCTAACTCATTATTGGCATTGTTAGCATAAAATTATAAGTAAGACAGATAACTGCTACACTATGGAACGACCAAAAAATTGAGCTGCTATAGCAGCCTGAACGTCGTACCTGGGTGGGCTCGAAACGGCAATCTCTCGGTTTGCAAGCAAACGCTCTAATTGATCGCACCACAAAGCCTAAAACAACTTTACTTACTGGACAATCTTGAAAAAAAACTACATTTGTGGCAATTTGTAAGCAAATTCCCAGAAATTGAATGTTAAGGGAACCGTGGTCAGAAAGCTTTTACAATTAAATTTTAAAAAAAGTTAAATACGCTTCATCCAGCCTGCTCATGTTGCATCATACTGGTAATAATATGTTAAGTACAATCAAAATCAAATCAAAAAGTCTCTCGGTCTGCCACTCTTCAGCTTCACTTTACTGTTGGACTGTGACCACTGGCAATAAGTAGGAACCTTTGGGTTCTCACTTGTTTTCCTATTGACAGTACTCGTTGACCTGAATGGATAGCATTATGTGAGTAAAAAGATCAGTTCCCCAGTTATGGGAAGAATATTTGGATATATCTCAAAAGGTCTTTGGCGTTCTCCACCTCATGGGAAAAGCAAAAAAAGTGGGTTGAACAAGTTGTCTCTCTCTGGGCGGTACTAGTTACATACTATGTAATCTAGTTCTGTGGGTACAGGCGTCCACCGCACGCTGTCTCATGACACAAACTTTTGGGTTTTTTTTAACTCTTACGCGATTTTGAATTTGTTGTCATTTCTTCATCAGTTTTATCCTAGACTGAAGTTATTAGCGATAACTGACTTATTTAAGGTGCAAATATGTCATTTTCAGAAATAGATGTAAAGAGTAGAGCAGTTCGTCTAGACTGACCGCTGTAGGAGTCACAAACCAGGGAGCTGTAGAGCTAGCGTAGATTAAAAGGCTGCAGCTGTAGATGTGTGCAGTAACACCAGTGCCCTGCTTGCACCCCCTGCTGGTGTTTTAAAGTGTCATTTCTTGTCAGTTAAGAACTGGACGCTCCTGACCGGGGTCTTCTCATCTCCGCCGCGGCTGCGTCCCAAGTAATGAGCTGCATCCTAACTCTGCCTGACACAGGAAGTCCACACTTCAGAAGTGGACGATGCAGCCCAGTCATTTCCAGAGGATTTTAAATTAAGAATAGTTAAAAGGTAGAGTATGCTGGGTTAAAAAAAAAGGGTCACTAGGAGTGTATGGTGGCATGCTGTTCTGCAGGGGCTCTGTCTTCCGCAATAACACTTTTTTTCCGTCCACTTCCAAAGTCTAAGGAACAATTAGCAGAAGAAGAATTAAGGTTGATACCATAAAATGTCACGTTTTAAAACGGTTTCACATGCGTACAGCACCACAGGTCAGTGGGTGCTCAGGTCAGTGGGTGCTCAGCAGTTTTAGTACCCACTGCATGTCAGTGCCATGGCGCCCTCTTCTCCTATGCTGTTACAGATGCGTGTCACGAAGGTCATTCACTGTCACAAAATTCATCACGTATCTATAGCACCCTCTGCTGTAGAGAAAGGGTTACTCCAAAATGCTCAAAATTCCAGCATACTCTACCTTTAGTGAACAAACATAGTACAATCCATTTTATTTTTATTTTTATTTTTTTAACACATGCCTTGCGTTAAGCTTCGCGATCAAAACCAAACTAATGCAGTTTAGAAACAGTCGGAAGAAACTAAAACCGTACAGACGACGCTTTATTCCAGTCACTGTAGTTCTCCCGTGAACTGAGTCACTGTAGTTTTTTTTTGTCTTTAAAATGTGAGTCCCTGTGTAGAACCGTTTGAATAACTTTTCTAGTGTACGGGTTATAGGAAAAAAAAAAAAGTCCATCACCAGCTGCTTCTATTAGTCTATCGTGGTCACTAAAGTGAGTTCGGGATTTGTTGAGTTGCATGGTCTAAAGACGTACAACGCAACGAACTGGGACACGACCCGTGTGTGTCTGTGTCTGTGTGTATGAATTGGTGTTTTGTTCACCGCTGTAAAACCCTCCGACATCCTCTACTGGAATATCTGACCCTGTCAGGTCAAAGGTCAACGACAAACATGGTACTACTGTCGAGAGTGAGTAAATAAAAAAATTTAAAAATCATGACTAAAGATGTAAACTGTGTCTATAATGTATGAAGGGAAAATATATTGCTAAAATAATTCTAGAAGAGAACAGATGTTATTGATTACTATGATGATAATAATTGTTATTAGATTTATTGGTATTCTTTTGTATCATCTGTACTTCCACATATAGTCGGGTGATTCCACACCTGCGGTTGTGTCGTGGATGAAGGTCAGGGCAACTGGACAACTATATGTGGGACTTGAATAAAGGATTCATGCCACAACAGGTGGGTCAGAGAAGATCCTGATGTGTTTTATTGTAAATAGAGTATGTATTCTTTGAAGTGGCCCATTAAAACTGGCTTCATTGTTTATCCTGTCTCTTTTGTTTTTGTCGATTACATGATGCCGACTTCGAGACGGAGCAAGTTATATCTGGAAGACGTTTTTCTCAGTCTCTTAAGTGGAATGTTACCGACAAACTTCAGGGGGAAAAAATGACGACACACTCAATGTGTGTAACCCTAAGGTGATGTTGGCAATCTGGGATTGTTCTTTGGTTAAAAAATGTCACAGCAAGGCTAACAATCTCGCTCATTGTCTGCTATTGCTATTGTAATGCGAATGCTAATTTAATTAGCAGTATTTTCCAAACTCATTGTCCAAAAAATCAGCCATTTTGGGCCGCATATAGAATTGCATACGTGTTCTGGACTTCAACATGAAATCATTTTAAAACCAATCAGGTTCCTGACAGGTTTCCGTTGTTGTGCGTGTCAGTCCAGCCCTTCAGTTGTGCGCCGATGCTCGTGGGTTAAAAATAATTCAGAGGATTACAATAGACATTCCACTGGTCAGTGCTTACCAATATTGATTAGAGCCCTTTTGGGGTCCTGCCATCTTTTCCTCCACACACCGTACAGCAGCACGGTCATTGGTGTAGGAGGATAAAGCCCCCACAACCTCATTAGCATGACCTTTGAATGAGTTTGTCATCAGGACTGAGAAAGGGCAGCGGCTTTTCGACGTGTTTGTATGATATTATTGTTCCCATTGGAGACCTTAGCTAATTAAAGTCAATCCATGGCTACTGACTGTGAAGGAATGGCTTAATAAACTATTGGCACGAGGCTAGACAAGACCAACCTGTTGTTCATCAAAGGTCCAGAGAAATGCCTCAGTGATGATCTGCCTCCAGAGACTAATTACTGCCATGGAGCTGGACAGCAGTCGTTTGAATGAAGAAAAAGGAAGGAGTTTTTTGGTTTTTTTTCATATGTTTTTGTCTTTGACTTGAGTGATGTCAAAACAGGCGGGGCATTGTGGACAACTCTAGACAGTATAAAAGACACCTGTTCTCGCGAACCTACTTATTTTCCTACACGTGAACCAGAAGATGCCGTGGTCTGTTTATGTCCAGAGGACTGCAAGGATGGACACGTCTAACAAGGTAGGACAGTTTTTGATACTTTATAGCTTTTATCAGGACAATTTAAACATTTAAGTTTTTACCACAAACGCATTCGAGAGATGGAGATATCTTTTCTACTATTCTATTCTATTTTCTACTGATTTTCTTTTACATTTTCTTCTCATTTGTTTACTTGGGACAACAGCTGCCGTCTGTTCAGGGATCAATAATTATTTAAAGTTATGTAAAGATTTTCTACTGATTTTTTTTTTACATTTTCTTCTCATTTGTTTACTTTTCATAGCATTTATATTTTAAATGTTCCTGAATCATTAAATAAGACTAATTTGTAAAGTCCAGAAAATGAGATAGATAGATAGATAGATAGATAGACAGATAGATAGATAATTCAATTACTGTTTCATGGTCACACAGTGGAGAAGTGGTTGGTGCACTTGCCTTATAGTAAGAAAATAATTCAAGTTTGATTCCCGGTTCTGCAATTTTTTTTCCCTCCAAAGTATTTTTCACCTTGTGTTATAACCCAGCTGCTCTCCTTCCATCCAGCAGAAAGTCCTGGTCCTGGTCCTGATGCTGCTCCTGTCTCAGCTCACCTGTGAGGCCAACAGTATGACCGAGTGCTGCAGACAAACATCTCGCTCCTGCCGCCTCTACATCCTGCTGTGCCGCTCAGGCGGAAGCTTCGTGAGCGGAGCCCTGACAGGCGACGCCGCCGCTGGGATCCTCACTCTGGGCAAACGAGGAGAGGACGACCACCGCCTGCACAGTCGACTCCACCAGCTCCTGCAGGGATCCAGGAACCAGGCTGCAGGGATCCTCACCATGGGGAAGAGGACGGAGGAGAAAGCCGTGGAGCAGTACATGGACTGGGCGGCCCGGTCAGAGAGCACCATCACAACGCCGCTTCCTTTGTAAAATACACTGTATATACATGTACCTCAGGGTGTTAAACTACTGCAGCACAACGTTAAAAAACAAATGTAACACGGAATAATATTGTGTTCCGTTACATGCCTTTGCACCTGTGGAAATTCACAAGGAAGAACTGTGTCATTTTAAATGTGTATAGTGTGTATAAAAAAATTACAAACAATAAAAGTAATAATGGAAGTCACTTCAAGGGCTTTCTTTTAAGGACCACAACACCATTAGGATGAATGAAGACAATTTATAACTGTGATTATCAAAGCATCATTGACGCAACGTTTACATGACTAATAAAGTTCATTAGCAGGCAGAAGGAAGGTGAAGTAGAATCACGTGCCTAACCTTTTGTCGTGTATGGGTTTGTATAGGTTTGTATATGTGTATATATGTATATTATTTACACATACACACATATACACATATATGTATATGTATATATGTAATATATATAACGTATATACTATTAGGACATGTAATCAGATGAATCTTCACAAATGAATTAACACATTATTTGAATGACGAGAGAGAGAGAGAGAGAGAGAGGGAGGGAGGGAGGGAGGGAGGGAGGGAGGGGCAGAGGTAAGAGAGGCAGATAGTCAGGGAGGGCAGGAACCATGGTGAGTGGAGTTAGAGTGAGTGAACAGAATCAGTGCAGAGCAGATGTTGAAATCTTCTGAACCCTCCTACGCCATCTCTCTCTCTCTCTCTCTCTCTCTCTCTCTCTCTCTTCTCTTTTCTTTTTGTTTTTTGAAGAATCCTTGGAAGACATCGCACAACTTTCCTCTCACACAATAGCCACTGCACTCTGGTTAGAATTCTCTGGTGAGCACATGGTCGAGACGCAGTGAGGTTCGTTTACTTGGAATGGTGAGGAAGAAGAGGAACCTGTCGTCTGAGAGAACCTGCTACCATCAAGATGCCCGTGATGAAGGGCCTGCTCGCTCCACAGAACACGTTCCTGGACAGCATAGCCAACCACTTTGATGGCACTCGTGAGTGTATTTTGAATATTTATATTTATTTTAATTATGTGATTTATATCATATGATGGCAAATGAAAATACATATTTGCTTATGCCATTTTTGACTGACAAAGGCAGGCTTTAAATAATGCACAATTATCTTAATATCAATTTGAAACTTTTTAGACCAGTAAAATATCCAGCTAACTGCCTTGTGTCAGTCCTGAGGGGGAAAAAAAGTGTGGGATATGTTGCCTGAGGTAATCTGGCAACCCAATTCCGGGTTGTGAGTGATGTGTCCAACAGAGCTGACGTCCAATTATACAGCGATAAAGAGGAAGAAGAGGGCGATCAAGAGCGAACAAACAAATACATTTGGTCATCTTCTTGTCGAGCCATGTGTGTATCTGCGGAGCTTCGCATAGAAGTAAAGCTGTTACTGTTAGGGTCAATATTGGCACATCAGTCAGTCATGTGTAGCAGGAGTCATTTAATTTATAAATATATATATATATATATATTTATACATATACTGTATATATAATGATATATAGATTTATATGTATGCTTATATATGTGCATATACAGTATACACATATTCATATTCCTTTTGTTTTTAATTTATTCAAAAAAATGTGTTGGTGGTGTCACCAGATGTCATACAGAAAATATACTCATACATATATATATATATATATATATATATATATATATATCCTTGCCAATGTTGGGTTACGTTGACGAAAACAGTTTTTTCCCAAAATAAATATGATCCCAACCAGGGATGTTTGGTGAAAATTGTCTCCTAAAGCTTTAGAGCAGCAGGTCAAAAAGACAACGGGCTGGGTGCAAGATGGAAAGATTCTGATTAGATAAGACCAGGATAAAGAGATAACAGCGTTAGAGCTGAGGGTTGAGTGGAGTAAACAGATCAGAGGGACAAGGTTTTTTTTTTTTTTTTTCACCACACAAATCTCAGAAAGTGTCTTCTGGCAACTCCTGCAGTTAGCAGTTAGCCTATAAATGTAAATACTTTTTTTAAAAAAAAGAAAGTATAAACCTTTTCGCTGTGTGTTTACGCAGAGAATAATCTCTTAAAGTAAGGTCATGTCCAAACAAGAAAATACACAGTGTCATAAAAACAGAATTAAAAAAAAAACAATTAATAGAATTAGTGAAAAACTGCTATCACCTTCAGTGGTATCAAAACTTAATGCTAAATAACCGCTACTGTGAATGTTCTTCCTCATGGCTAATCTAAAATAAGCGAACTAAACAAGATAGGTACGGTACGGCCAGTGGTTCTGGCTGTAGCACTACGTACTAACAAGGCTAACATTCATCACTGCTTGTGATTAGTTTGTGTTTAGGACACAAGTTTAAGTCTACTGTAAGAGGCTAAATTAGAATGCTGGGGTCATACAGATGCTAATTATGCGCAACATTAGCGCCATATAGACAACGGATTCTAATAAAATTTCAAGGAAGGAATATGGCTATATATACATATTTAAAATATATACAAGTATCTGTGACAGCAGATATCGTGGCTGTAGTGTTGAACCCGGTCAGAATGGTCTGTTTGTCGTGCCTTCCTCTCTGTAAACGCCACTATTCTCCTGAATAGAGATGTTTCTCAGCTCTTAGATATTTGGAACAATTGAAACTGGTAATTTGAGCAACGTCTCGTCGACTGTATTGAATTCCACGCCCCCTTTTATACGAGACGGAGGGCAGCTGGAGTGCGTAAATGAAACAGAGCAGATGCACCGATCACATGAGATCTGACGGTCCTCGTGTTTGCATTATTAATCCTGGTGGTTTATCTCCTGCACAGATAATAGGTTCATCAGAATATATTAAATAAATAAAAAAGAAACGAATGTGAGTGAGTGAGTGTTGATGACACCGTCTCCTGTTTCACACCGTCCTGCCCTTGCATTTTCCTACATTTAAGAGTCGGTGTGAGGGTGAGAGAGTTCACCTGGAAGCTGAGTGGGAGGTGAAGGGACTAACTGTCAGGAGGAGGCCGAGGAGCACAACTCCGTCTGATCGACACGGCCGTGGGTGTGTCTCGGTGGAATCAGGAGTTTTCACTGAGACGAAGTGTGTTTAAAAGTGTGTGCCGAGATCCAGTTTCTCTTATACTTTGATGTGGTTTTTCTGATCATGTGTTCACTCTCATGTCTTGATGCACCTCACATTGACTAAATCATACAAATATATATAGGAGGCAGAACTGCTGCTGGCATCTTCGGAATGGCAGTGACACCCACACGACCCTGATATGTGAGCAGGAAAATTAATTCAGATCAATTATGCACAGTGCGAGAGGAGATCAAGTAGCGCCGGGGTCTCGCTCCAACTTTCTCTTTGGGATGGGAGTTAGTTCCTTAAAATATTCATTTAATCGTCATCACGATATAAGGATACACAGGGTGGTTTTGATCGCCCGTAACTTCAAACCTGTTCATTGGGCAGGCATGAAATGCATTTTTTTGTCCGTCTCCATCAAATCTTTTGTCCTGTTTTGTCTGTCTGCGTAGGTGTTTAATTGTCACTGTTACTGATAATTAGCTCAAATCGTTACTTTAAAGCTTTTGTTGTTTGATTGAAACAAAGGGAACAGTTGGACTGAAGTGGTTCACTAAGTGCAATTATCTGAAGTTTTAATTTCAGAGGTGAGCTCAGAGGAAGTTTAACACACGAGGCAGAGGAGGAAAAACCCAAGAATGTGTATCATCAAGCGATCATTACTGCTTTTAGCTCCTCAAAAAAAAAAGAAAAAAAAAAAAGAAATATATACTTGACTTATAGGCTGGAGAAAATCTTTTTCAGGGGGCATTAAGTCTTGGTAACCTCAGAGATACTAACTGCTGTATTGCCATATGTTTTTTTTTATCTCTTTTTAAATTGCTATGGCAACAGCAGCAGAGAAATGTCTTAATTTAGTTTCTTGTGAGACAAACTGTACACACATCAGGAAGAATCTGCCCACACATCATTAATTGTGTGTGTTTGCCTCTGAAACAACACCTATGTAAAAAAAAACCCTGCATAAATGAAATTAAATGAACCGTATGGTCGTGTGCTTCGGTGCGGAGAACAGTTTGTAAATGGATGCAGTAATGTGTACAGTACTGCAGGACAGGTGAACACCACTGTGTTCTTTATGGGCTGTTTTATTATTGTACTGATCAGAGAAGAACAAACATGCTGTATTGTAATTGAGGCGGTCTGTGTTTAAAGAGCAGCCTGATGGACGGTTGCAGCCTCTCCCTCTCTGTTTGACAAAAGTCAAGCACTGACTGCATCACTTTGTGTCAGATGGTCCTTCCAATTATTTACTATATAACAAATGCTATTATTAAGTATTTAAATCAAATGGATGTCATACAACTTATATATTAATTTATTTAGCATGTTTGGAAACACAAACAGAAAAGTCAGAAAATCTTGTCAGTGGCCACAGATCAACCTATGGTTTGGCTGCACTGGCCGCAAATAATGAAAAGTAGATAAAAAGAAGCTAAAAGTTAGCCAAAAGGTGTAATAGCTTTAGCCCATATTAGCATATATAATAATAATAATTGCTATTATTGCTATTATTGTTATTGTTATTATTATTAATAATAATAATAATCATTATTATATTGTATAATTAATGTTGTTAATTACCTTGAACTTAGTCGCTGTGGCTATAAAAGGAGCTCAAGAGCAACTAAAAGTCTGGATGAAAATATTTTCAAATGTGCAAAAGAACAGCCAATACGATCATATAAGATAAATTATGAATAAATTAATGTGTATATTTTAATTTGTCCGAAATAGAGAAGTAAAATAGGAATAAAATACTCTGAACATGTTCATAAATATCACTGAAACAAATAACCTCAGCATTTGTTTGCCTTGCAGACAGTAACTTCCTGCTGGGAAATGCTCAGAGCCGCTGTGGTTACCCCATCGTCTACTGCTCTGACGGGTTCTGTGAGTTGACAGGCTTCGTTCGGACCGAGGTCATGCAGAAGTCGTGCACCTGCAGGTTTCTTTACGGGGCTGAAACTAACCACAGCGTGGTCCAACAGGTGGACAAAGCCCTGGAGGTACAACAGGAGTACCAGGGAGAAGTCGGCTTCTACAGGAAAAATGGTAGGAGTTTTGAACAAGCTAACGTCTTAATAACACACAACAAAGACACATTTGTAGGTTAATACTAATTCATTTTCAAAATAATGAACGTGATATATTTCCGGGCTAGCTTGTATCTACTTCCTGTCAAACTATGGCTTTATTTTCTGCTACAACGTAGTTATTTTACAGCTAAGCTTCAGGATATTATTTACTACTCATTATTTTGGTAACAATATTATTGGTTTAATTCTTGTTTTTGTTTTTGTAGTTATTATTAGCTCCGTCTTTGACACTTTAACACTACAACATTAAGTGATTTCAGGGCTGTTTTTTTAATGTTTTGCTACATTTCATTTTAGAATTATCTTCCTAATTCTCATTGAAAAAATATGTATTTTTATTGCAAATAAAGTTTTTTAAATTTATTTGATTGTTTTTGCAGTTTTTGAGCGTTTTCTCTTATATATATAATTCATAGTTACTAATATTATCTTGATAAAAATATTTTTCAGGTAACCCATTTTGGTGCTTCCTGGACATCGTGCCTATTAAAAACGAGAGAGGGGAGGTGGTGCTATCGGTGCTATTACTGCTTTCCTTCAAAGACATCACGTAATCATATGGAGAAAGCTGTCACTACAGCCAGGGAGAGGGTGAGAGCATTTACTGTCAACAGCGCTACTTATAAGTCAATTATTGCTAATCAAGCAGAAGCATGAAGCTAGTTTTTTTTTTTTATCTTGATAAAAATATTTTTCAGGTAACCCATTTTGGTGCTTCCTGGACATCGTGCCTATTAAAAACGAGAGAGGGGAGGTGGTGCTATTCCTGCTGTCCTTCAAAGACATCACGGAATCATATGGAGAAAGCTGTCACTACAGCCAGGGAGAGGGTGAGAGCATTTACTGTCAACAGCGCTACTTATAAGTCAATTATTGCTAATCAAGCAGAAGCATGAAGCTAGTTTTTTTTTTTTGATGACATCCAAGTCCTTTTGAGTTTAGCCTCACTTAAACCTGCAGTGCCAGATTTATACAATTTGGGTTCTTGACTGTTGGAGTCTTTATATGGTTCCCACATTGTCCCCGACATGGGCTTTGGTGCAGGGAGGGGATTACAGATACACAGGTGTACAAGTAGCTGACATGTCAAAACTACAAGAAAGAGTCAAAGTGTGAGGGTTAATTCAGGGTGGACTACCTCAGCTTCAGGATGACACACTGTTATATTTAGATAATTTAGGGCTGAATGGAATGTGTATATATATATATAAAAAATTACCATATTTACATTTGGTTGCTATGCTTTCTGCTCACAGGGATGTCTGAGGCTGCCTACCACGGCAGGAAAAGCAACCAGTCACAGTTATTCCAAACTGGAGAGAGGGGGAGGAACGTTCTCCACCATCTGACCAATCTGTTCACCAAGAGGGGCAAAAGGAAACTGTCCAATGTGAGAGCAAATCTGCGACTTTTACAATTCGACAGCTGAATAATTCTTGCGTACATCTTGTTGTTTTGGACGGAACGCAGAAGAACACAACAAGCTTTCATTTGTTCTTATTGTTCCATTGTTTTCCAAATAATTGATTTTGATGAAGCATCAAATTTTATATCATAAAACCTGATGGAACCTTTTGTTAAAGTCTGAGTCTTATATATATGGATAGATTAATAGATGGATAGTTAGATAGATATCAAAGATTAATTATTTCTCAGGGATGAAGCTGTTCTTGGCTTTCATGAACACACACGTCTTCCCTCATCCAGTCCCGTGGACAGACACCTCATCCATCACAACAAGATGTCAATCATCTCATGATCTCTCACTTTCTCCCCATCTCCTCAGAGTGTGTTCCAGAAACCGTCTCCGCCGGAGTACAAAGTGGCAGCTGTGAAGAAGTCACGCTTCCTCCTGCTGCACTACAGCATCTCCAAGGCCTTATGGGATTGGTTGATTCTGCTGGCGACCTTCTATGTCGCGGTCACCGTGCCTTATGACGTCTGCTTCGCCAGTCATGATGAGGACAGCGACCGTCAGTCACTTGTCAGTCGCAGCACTTTGGGCAGTGACATTGCAGTGGAGATCCTCTTCATACTTGGTATAATGTTTGATGTCCTCAGATTGGATTGAGCCGCTATTAAAAAAAACATTTAAAAATAGTTTTAACTTTGAGGTACACTTTTTCTGAAAATAAATTAATTGTATTTACTAGTCTTTTTTTGCTATCTATTTAGCAGTTAGTTCTATTTAGTCTATTTTTGCTATATATTTATGTTTATATATCCATATATTTAGCATTTGTCATTTTCCATTTAATATTTTTTACATATTAATTAATTAAGTTCATTCTAGACTATCATTTCTGAGCTAAGATTTGCTATTTGCTGGCTAATTTCTTTCTTTTTCCAAATTTATTTATAGTTTTTCAGCTAACTTTTTGGTAATTCTGTAGTCTCTGATGTCTTTGTTTTTCCTTTAGCATATTTCAACATATATTCTTTTTTTTTACCCAGATAGTTAGCTTTTTTAAGTTTTTTTTTTAAATCTATTTTTGGCTAGCACAGATAGCTTTTTTAAGTTTTTTTTTAAATCTATTTTTGGCTAGCTAAAGTAGCATGCTTGTAGCATTTTAGAGCTTACCTTCAGGGCATGCTGCTACTGGGAATGTTAAACATAAACATTCCAAACTTATCTTGCTGTAAGTCAGAATTTATGTATTTATCATTATTTATTCTGTTGTAAATTTTAAACTTTGCTACTGTTCTATAGCTTTTATATCAGAGGGAGAACAATATCTGCAACCCAGTTGATTAAACACAAGACACAGCAGTTTCTAAATTGTATGAAGAACATATATATATATTTCCCACCATAGCTGAAGTATAGTTACCTTGGTGACAGCTGACATAAAACGCCTACCTTTTCCCACCCACGCGGGGCGTCTCTGTTGCCCTAGGTTACGAATCACACCCAGAATCACACTTTTCTCACTTCATTCCGCGTTTCTCTCCATAGAAAGTGTGACAACGCCTTTCTCATCTGCTTCTGCAACTTCCTCTCTCAACACGTATGTCAGGGGACAGAAAGTGATAGTTATACTCAAAATAAGCTCACCTGTTATCACATGCTGACACGCGCTTCTCTTCCTCTTGCCATGGAATTGAATCTCATCATGGTACAGACGTCAACCAATCGTTTACTTTTATTAAAGGCCAAATCATTTGTAATAGTAATAGTAATTTTGAAGGATCCTAGAAACCGGTAATAGAATGCGACTGTAGTAGAAACATGTACTAGGTATTAATTATGTATTTAATGTACACTACACATGTTTTTCTCTTTTTCAGATATTATCCTGAATTTCCGCACCACCTACGTGAGCCAGTCAGGTCAGGTGGTGTACGACGCTCGATCCATATTCCTGCACTACTGCACCACATGGTTCTTTGTGGATCTGATAGCAGCGTTGCCCTTTGACCTTCTCTACGCTTGTAACATCACTGTGGTAAGAGTCCTTGGAGTGAGGCTCAACCAAGATTTTAATACTTTAACCGTAACTGTATACACAACAGTGATTAGCTTAGAGCACTAGGTCAGTAATTTAGGGATAGTAATTTCTGGAAAATTCTCACTTTTCTGTTTGATTCAGTTTTACTCTTTATGCAAACCTGGTACTTGTCATGGATTGGTCTGAAATCCCACAGCTCTCAGCTGACACACAATAAGAGATGTTAAACATGGACACCTTCAAACAATATTAAACAACCTTTCTTCTTTCTTCACCCAGACCTCTCTCGTACATTTGCTGAAGACAGTTCGTCTGCTCCGACTGCTGCGTCTGCTGCAGAAGTTGGACCGTTACTCTCAGTACAGCGCTGTGGTCCTGACTCTGCTCATGTCAGTGTTCGCTCTGTTGGCTCACTGGATGGCCTGTGTCTGGTACGTGATCGGACGCAAGGAGATAGAAAGCAGTGATCCAGTCACCTGGGACATAGGTGAGGATATTGTATATACAGTATGTGACTGACAGTTCTAGAGGTATTATGTTTTTGTTGTTATAAAGATTAAGTCAACAACTTTACTCGGTCATCGTTGAAAATGTGTGAACTGAACTGGACTGCTGCCCTGGTTCTAATTAACAAGCATTTGTATTGTATTTACAGATTTTATTATTTATATTTATATATAATAATATAATATTTATATATTTATTGTATTTACAGTCTGAGGCTGCTAGCAAAGTGAGCCATATATAATACATCCTATAGCAAGGGTGTCAAACTGGCCCCCCCCCCCCCCCGCGCGGGCCGGGCGCCGCGGGGGGGGGTGGGGGGGGGGGGTGTACAATCAGGCCCACTTGATGAATTTTGGAAGTGGCTTATTGCTCGGTCGGACCAAATATTCTATATGAGATTAGTCACAGCCAAACTAATCTTTAGGTTAAACTTTAGGTTAAACTTTAAACAGACATTAACGGTTGATGGAATTGCTGTTAATCACAGTGAGAGATTGTCGGATAGATTCCCTGCCCTACCAGGACAGTGGTGTGTTTATAACTCAGTGTTTCATGGATACGTCCACACAGGGGCGTTTCTAGACACTCTGGGGTGACCAATGTCAGTCTCTCGGGGCCCCTTCTAGCTAGGCAATTGCCTGGGTTGCCTACCCTTTTCTGATGTCCCTATAAATCGGTTGATTTGCGTGAGGTTCACCAGTCTTTGGACCTCATCCTCCAGGTTGGCTTCAGGAGCTTGGAAAGCGTCTGGAAACACCATACATCAACAGCACCATGGGCGGTCCCTCAATGCCCAGCGCCTACATCGCCTCCCTCTACTTCACCCTCAGTAGTCTCACCAGCGTTGGTTTTGGCAATGTCTGCGCCAACACAGACGCTGAGAAAATCTTCTCCATTTGCATCATGCTCATGGGTGGTGAGTTCTCTGGTGAAATATCACCGAATTGTGGGAAATGCTCAGAGAGTGATTTGCTCTCAACTCTTCGATCTTAAGCTCTGATGCACGCCGTGGTGTTTGGCAACGTGACGGCCATCATCCAGCGCATGTACTCGCGACGCTCGCTCTACCACACCCGAATGAAGGACCTGAAAGACTTCATCCGTGTCCATCGGCTGCCTCAGCAGCTGAAGCAGAGGATGCTGGAGTACTTTCAGGCCACCTGGTCCGTCAACAATGGCATCAATGCCAATGAGGTGGGTGAAGGAGTGTGTGAGCGTGTGCCCTGGCATGGCTCCAAAACATTGGCCACAATTTGTATTTTTAGAACTGTCAATGACATTTAGATAAGTAGTTGAGCGTGTGGGCTGCAGTTCTCCTTGAACAAAAGTACGTCTTGCGTAGGAGAGCGTTGCCTGATTCAGAAATGCCATATTTAAATGTAGGCCATCCTTAAACTCTCAGGAGTCTTATTCCACTTAAGTAAATGACACAGCTTCGCAAATAGAATGGCAGTAACAAAGGGCCTTAAGTAAATGACACAGCGTCGCAAATAGAATGGCAGTAACAAAGGGAAGTACCAAGTTAGAAAAGTACCCTCTAATTAAAGGGCGAGGAGTTGAGAATTTGGATAATACTTATTAACACAGCTGCTGTCACTACATGTAGATAATGAATTCACTGTTAGATGAAACAGACACGGCATCTAGTTCCTGACAACATGCAGCTGATAACACCTCACGTCTGGGTTAAGTCGTTTAATCTCTAAATGTTTTCTGGGTGAAATAAATTATTTCTCCATTGAAATGATGCATTATTTGCACCTGATGTGCAATAGCTAATGAAACAGTGGTTATAATTTAGAAATACATTTAAATATTAAATATTTGCAGCACCTTTTAGTCAGTAATAGTAATACAGGGAGTCCTTGACTTACGTCTGAGTTCCATTCCTACGTTGCCCACTCGCACACTCTTCATAAGTAGAAGGGCCAGCAGTGGCTTGGTGGTTACGGAAGCGGACTTGGGTCGGGAAGGTTTCAGGTTCGAGTCCACCAGCTGCGAAGTTGCTACTGCTCTGAGGTCACATTTCACATTGTGTGCACTGACAAAGTGGTAATACCTCCAGTTGCCGTGCAAAATTACTTGTACATCGGAACGATTGAACAAGGCTTTCTTAACACAGAGGTCAAGGATGTTGTAAATCAGCCCCCTGTAGTGTTGAATGGTTTTGTGTATATGCGGTAGAACAAACAGAATTATTTTATTATTTTTTTAAATTATCAGGGCTTTGCAGTGACCTTTATTCTATGTTAATTCTATATTAATGTTACGGTCTGTCGGGGCTCAGGCCCTAATTGGTTCTCAATTTTGCTATGCCTTGTGTTTTAGTTGCTGCATGACTTCCCAGATGAACTGCGGGCTGACATAGCCATGCATCTGAACAAAGACATCCTCCAGCTGCCTGTATTTGAGCGAGCCAGCAGAGGGTGTCTGCGCTCCCTCTCTCTGCACATTAAAACATCCTTCTGCGCGCCGGGAGAATACCTCATCCGCCACGGCGATGCACTGCAGGCCAACTATTTTGTCTGTTCGGGGTCCCTGGAGGTTCTGAAAGACAACATGGTCATCGCCATCCTGGGTCAGTGCACATGTCCCCTCCTTTTTTTTTTACTCTCTTTTCCATATCCTGCCTATAACCCTTCTGCGCGACACAAAATCTTTATAGGAAAAGGTGACCTCATCGGGGCCGATCTCCCCGAACAAGAGGAGGTGATCAAGACAAATGCGGATGTGAAGGCGCTGACCTACTGTGACCTGCAGCACATCAGCGTCAGAGCTCTGAGGGAGGTCCTCAGGCTGTATCCAGAGTACGGCAGTCGCTTCAGCCTTGACATCCACCACAACCTCACCTATAATCTGAGAGAGGGCAGCGAGACAGAAGTAAGTCTATATCTGACAGTCTGTTCTCTGTAACCCTATATACAGATCACTGAACCAGAACTGGAGCTCTTTGTTCCTGCTTTTACCTTTCTGCCAATTACAGAATACCACTTAAATCCATTGTTAAATTTACCCCTGTTATCTCTAGGGAACAAAACGGTTTCCATGGACTCCACGGCGGTCCCAAGTACGTTTCCCTTACTTCAGCTTGCATGTAATATTTGTGTAATATGTAATAGGAATTTCACCTCAGCTTTCCACCTAAACGCTAAAAGAACAGCATATGCAAAAAATAAAGATATATACCCATTGGCTGTTCCAATGTGTTAAATGAATAAGTAAGAGATTTTCACTATAGTATCTGATTATGTCAAAATCCAAGTTTTAAAAAGGGTAGTTTTTAAAACTCTTGTAATTCAGTGTTTTCTTCAGAGCCACGTGTCCTTGGACCACAAACTCCCTTACATCATCGAGACGGACAGTACGGAGCACGAAGAAGACGATGCACAAACTCAACAGAGGAGAGTGCCCCTGCTGCAGGGCATGGGCAGCCCTGTTCGTCAGCCCTGCCTCGGGACTCTGTTGGGGGAAGAGCTCCGTCACATCACCCCACTACGCCTCTGCCGCTCCCCTGTTCAAGGTGGCCGAGGCTGCAGCCCCTCGCCACAGAGGTTTACCAAGGACCTGTCTCTGTCTCCTCTGCCCAGTCTTAACACTGACACAGACCTAAACCATCGTCCGGACAGGCTGCTCATGCCGACCTTGCCCTGTGTCAGTCCACTGACTCTTAGTCCAAGGTAAACCTTAGGATTAATGGAAGAGTTCTAATTGAACGCCCTCATCCACAGTTTCTCTAAATTCTGCATGTAGTGCCTTGATACAATTTTAAAGCCATGTTTTTCCTATTTATAATTATTAATTAAATTAGTAAAAGTAGTTTATTGCACTAAGTACGATTCATAACGGTTTTGATTTTGTAGCCAGTCCTTCATGAGCCTCACATCTGGAAAGGGTTACAGGTACATTTCTGGTTAAATATAGTTCACCGATGCCAACGTAACTGCAGATGACGCACAGACGCTGTCTACAACAGAACATGAACCATTTTTGTCATTTTATAGTTTTGAGTGCCGTAGCAATGCTACAGGTTTGAGTAAGTGAGTAAAAAAAGAAAGTGGATGATGATTATAGCATCGTTTGTAGCAAAGAAAAAGAACACAAATTCAAAGAAAGATGCTATTTGTGTTTATATGCAGGCAATGGTCAATTACAACGAAATAGCATTCAGTATTTAGCATGACAGGATCACATACCTGATGTCAACAATTATTGCTCTAAAAACCCTACATCTAAAACCCTAAGAGGACAATGACATTAAGTTGTTTTGGGGTTAGCAGGAGAGCTAATATTTGGTTTGATGTTTTTTGTATATTTTATGCACAGTAGGCTAAATTTGAACAATTACAAGAGCCAAATATGGCCCTGTAGCCACAGGTTGCAGACCACCGACCTATTTGATAAAACTTTTTCAAGCAGTCTTTGTTTTTAGTAAGTAGTAACATCTAGCACCCCAACTTTGCCCAGTTCAAACTAATGACTAAATCTGTTTGTTTGTTGTTGTTTTGTCTTTGTCATGCTAGTTAACTCATGGAAATTCTGTAAACAAAGGCTTGATAGTCCAATCCTAAATTAACTGATAAACTGCAATCAATATTTTATTCTGCTGTTTGGGTCTCTATTATAGAGTTGTGGATGGAATTGAGGACAATGGTGAAACTTTTCAATTCAATGTGGAGCAAAGTGAAGAAAGGAATAATGCTAAAGGTAAAGATATCTGCTAACATAAAATATGCAGCATAAAGATAAAAGTAAAAGTTGAATTAAGTCATCCTTGTGATTTTATGCTTTCAGAGCAATTACAAGTGAGTGCAAACCTGCTTTTGGAAACAGAGGAAGTGCGACAGAACATTAGCAAGTTGAACAAAGAGGTAACGTTATCATTGGACAAACAGTCTAACTGTATCTTCAAACTGCTAATCATTGGCTGTGCCATTGGTTTTTTTATATGAAATTATGTTCATTATATTAACCAGTTCTCAAACAATTGTACACATACTACTTGTGGTACTTGAGCTCCCTCAAGTGGTTTGTGGGGCAATCTGCTTGTATGTGTGTGAATCAATTTAAGGTGCAGTGCTACTTCACTGTACAGTGTGGCTTGAGCTGCTAAATCACTTGAGCGGGGTAGTAATGCCCTGTGGTATTTAATGTTAGTCATACAAGTAGTACATGTAGTACTAGTAAAGACACAAGTGTTCGTATTAGGGTCACTGCTGCATACTAGTTTAAACTACTGTATACAACGTATCTTTTCAAGATGTAGTTTGAAGTAGCTCTATAAAAATATTGCTGTATTATTTATTTTTCAGGTGAATAACTTGAACCATGATGTAGCCAACCTCGCCAAGGAGCTCCACGACATTATCCACTACCTCCAGTCTCATATGGCCTTGCTCCATTATACCTCCCCTGCGTCCTCGTACTCTTACGGAATTCCGATGGCTCCTCCCCCTAATGTTACTGCTTCCAGTGACTGGCCACTGCATGTTCCCTTAAATGTGGCCACAGGGCCATACCGGCACACGGAAGCAATCGGCCACGCTGTGAGAAACGTGTGGTGTTGCACCGGGACGCCGTCCCAGGGTAGAAGCTCGACACTGCTGTACTCATCGAGCCCTGGATCGTCATGTTTACACTTGTGCTGCTCTGACAGGGAAGGCGCTCCAGCTCACATGCTACAAAGCCAGTGTGGCTCCTGTCAGGCCTCCAGGATGTCCCCGAACTCTTCATGCATGAGCCACTCTCATGGTCAGGCAGGTTCATCCTTATTGAGCCTCAGCTCTGCCTTCAGCAGCTTCCCTGTGGCTTGTCAGGCACACCAGGGGCTCTACAACACCTCTGTTCCGACGCTGAGTAACTCTCTTCCCGTATGTTCTTCAGTTTATTCTTGCTACACACACCCTTCTCTGAGTGGCCAAGCCAAACCTGAGCCATCCAATCAGACCAGGCCTCAGACACCCATTCATTCCTCCATCACTCCTACAGGCCAGCCACAGTATCACACAGCATTCAGTTCTCTCAACTCCTCAGGCGTATCAGTGTGCACAGGGCACACACTGGAGGAACGGAGCTCCATCAATAGTCCCAGGCAAAACGAACCAATAGGATCCAGTTCTGTACACCCAATGCCTAATGTTACATGTTCCCTACTGGGCCAGGTAGCAGACAGAGGTTCTAGAGCGTCAGTGTATCAAGAAAGGACAGATGACATAGTTGACCCACAGGGAAAAGGCAGCGTCACTCCAGATCAAGAACCTTAGCCTCCTCTAGTGGACATGAGTGGAATTCAAAAACAACAATAACTTTACTTTCATGTTTAGTAATGGGTAGTTATGGTAGCGTGTAGTAATAAAACCCAAATGCATGATAAAAAAGTACTATAACCGAATAAATAATTCCTACTTTCACTAGTTTTTAATGGAGAACATTTTTTGTGATTCAATTTTGGTAGCTTGTGATTGTGTTCAAACAGATGTTAATACGGATGTGTTAATAGGTTACTGACTACTGGCTGTGGAGTATAAGCTACACCTATTTTATTTTTTAATGACATCAGCAAATTAATGATTAATTGTTGTTTTGGTTTTTTAAAATTCTGAGATGGCCCCTGTACTGTTTCGAGCTAGGCCTAAAATCTAACCAGCTGGTGAGCAGTGTTACCTAGTAGTGAGAAATAGCAAGTGCATTTAATGACTTGTTATATTTTTATTCTTTGAAGAATATACTATATATATACGTGTATATGAGCTTGTCATATAAAGCTAATGGATTTAAAGAATGTATTTTATTTGTAATTTTATTGTGGGCATATAAAGACAATTCTCCTATATGATGTTCTGTTGACATTGATGGATAGTTTCTATGTACAGTATTTGGTTCACATCCTTCATTAATATATTGCAGTTAACGTTTTTATTTTATTTTAATGTTCTATATTTTCCGTTGTTTACTTCGAATATGATCATAATTTACATTTTCTGTATGAAATAAGATCTAAAACGTGACTGAAAAATAAGACGAGAAAAAAAAGTTGCCACATTTTACATTACATAGAATTAAGATTAGTTTCATATCTAGTAAAACAACTCGACTCTTTCTGGCCAGTCATTAAGTTCTCTGAATGACTGCACAGTTCTTATTTACACTCTATGACTACAGCAGCTTAGTCTTGGGGATTTAAATTCCTATGAGCGCCTGGAATTATTTTGTGAATACTGCTGCTCTGTCATTGGTCAGACAGTCCGATGACAAAACAGTGGGAGGTTTCCGGAAAAATTGCTCACCGGAAAGGAAGGCCGGAGCCCAAGAAGAAGAAGAAGAAGAAGGAGAACAAGCAAAGCAAGAAGAAGAGACCGACGTCAGTGCTGTCGCTGATGAGACCAGAAAAGAAAAAAAAGGTTCTGTAAGTAAGTCACAAAAGTTAAGAATTTAAACCCTGCTGGTAAAGAGAACAACCCGACGTCTGATGGCCGTTTGTGTCGACGAGCTGTTAACCGCCTCAAGCTCTTGTCTGTCAATTTGTAATGAACCGATAACACAAGCTCGGGACGAAATGTTAGTCGAAATCTTTAGACCTGATAGGAGGCGGCGATTATTTGCCCGGTTAGAGCAAGAAAAGAAATATTCGTGGCTTTTAGACTTGAAACCACATGGCAGCATCTGCGCCAACAACTGAAACCATAACCAGACTCTGCCCCATAGTCTGTTGAACAGATGAGGATGTTTGGCGTTTGAGAAGATGAAAGTTGTCAAATGACGCCGTAGCCCGTTTTGCAGCTGTAGCTGCTAGCACAGCTAACGCTATCACCTTTTAAATGAGAGTTGCAGAGCTAAACAACGTATTGTCACTTTAGGCCACCCAACCGGTGTTATTGTCGATCGACTGGTATGAGTAAGGTTCTTGTTGTATAGGTTAATTTTGATATCTTCCGACAACCATTAATATGGCACAACATGCTATTTACCAACCGCCTCTTATAACTACATGTTTATGCAGGCGTATAATTAGCGTCCTTATTGCTAATAGCGTCATTACGAGGTAATTACTTTAACGGCTCAGAAGCAGTCCCTGTTGCTTTAATTTAGGAACAACCTGACATACGACACATTCCACTCCCTGTCTATTTGATTAGAGTTTATTTTTATTACAAAATCACATTTTGAGTTATTTATTCGTAGCACGTTATTTATTCGTGTCACCCGACACAGTAAAGTTCCATGCTGTGCTACTTTGACTAGTTTTCAGTGTTTTCAGTTAAGTCACAGATAAGGTAAATGAGCTGCTTTGGCGGGTGTACACTGTACACTGAAATCAGATAATTAAAACAGAAGTTGGCATAGAAGGAGTTGGCCAGTTTGTACAACATACTGTCTGGTTTTATGTATGCAGTTATTAAGACAGAGAGAATACTAAACTATACGTGGTTAATGAATCTAATCTCTCATTTTATGTGCATATACCAATATACAGTCTATTTACAAAACAAACAAAATGTGAGAAGACTGATACTTTCCATTATGTCTGAAGGATCGTCCGCAAATATTTACTGATTGAAGTCGAACCAAGGAGTATTCCAGTGTTTACTCTATGGTGTCTGTGAACAAAAGTTAGAATGGAAAGTAAAAAGTGACTTCAGTGTTGCCAATTCCACAGTCAGATTTAAAGCTGAAAGAATGTCTCTTGTCACAGAGCATCAGGAGAAACAAACTGCTGCAGTCATTATGCTGATTCCCCAGTGTGTCAGGGCTTGTCGAAGGGAGGTGACAGAAATTATTCTTTGTTTATGGAAGACATTTTACTTCAAATATAACTACATGTGGACATACTTTGAAATGTTCTTGGTGAATGTTTTGTATCAGTGATGAGGCTTTTGAAGTGTTGAGCACCGCTCCAAAGGATTTACAATCCAATGTTGTGCCATCAACACACATTCATTAATCACGTCTTTCATTTCCATGCCCTGTTGTCCAGCACTGGTGTCAACGCCAGGAAAAAAAAAGGCCAAGCAAAACCAGCAGTGACGACAGGTCTATCAGTTGCTTTCACAAGAGAAAGCACAACTATGTGTATAGCTGCGTGCCAGCTATTGGAACAATGTTCCACGACACTTATTTTACATCAGAATTAAGTGAAATTTGATCATTTTTCACTTGATGATCTCTCATAACAAACTAATGTTCTGTAGCAACAGTGGTTGAGAATCACCGGACTAGAAATCATTGAATTTTAAATGTATTTTTGTCCATTTTGTGTGTTTATTTTTATTATTTTGTGGAGCCAGGTGGTGCCTCTCGGTACATCTACTTTAGGTTAAGTCATGGATTTACTAATTTGTGTTGTGGTTGGACAAAACAGCATTTATATGTGAAGCAGTGGGGTTTTTCATTGAGCTCTGACTGGTAGTTTGTTTGTTTTATAGACCTGTTCTGGCGTGCCATTACATTCAGTGTTGTAAAGGTGACATGACACCTGACTGAACGTGTTAATGTGGTTGTTCTGCCCATTTAAATTTTGAAGCAGTTCCGTCTCCGTGCCAACCCAATTTTGCTTATAATGTGCACTGTAACATGCCTGTGTCATCAGAATAAGCTCTATTTATGATCCATTAAGGACACCAGAGCTTGAACCTTTGAGACCCAGAGGGGATTTACAGTCACAGTTAGTGGCCTTGTTACATTTATGATACCTGGACTTTGTCCTCTCAAAGAGGTGACGTATGAAAATGTTCCTTGTACAAGAACTCTGAATTCCTCTATCCAGTACCTTCTTTATCTTTATCAAGGCAGGTAAAAATAAAGTACTACAGAACTAAAAGGTATTTTAGTTGAAGGCAGAAGAGTATATAATGGACTATAATAAAACACTATTGTAATATATGTAATATTTGCATTGTAATGAGTTCTTTTAAGCATTTTTACATTCAAAATTGTTTTTATTAAGTTTGAATTAGGAAGTGCCAGAAAAAGAAGGTCGAACAAAGTAAGAACAATGATAAAGTATTTAAAGTCAGTGGGTCTGAAAGTTACTTTTTAAATACTTTTTAGTTTCTAATACATTGCTTGCTACTCAGAACTTTTGTCATAGTAAACAACAAAATATTGGCCTTAATATGCAACAGTGCTGGCTCTTCCAGGCCCCCACCCTGAAATTCAAGTCAACAGCACAAGTCCCTGCCTGTTTTCTTTTCTTTGTCACTCCTTTATACAGTCAACCATGCAGAAAACAAAGCTGCACAAAGGTCAAGAAGAATTTGATTATAAAAAACACTGAAAGACACCAATGAGATTGATTTCAGATCTAGTTTGTCCACTGGAAAATGGTTCCAAATAACTATAAAGTCAGCCAGAATGAACTAACAGAAACATTTTAGTACAAAACCTTATGACATTAAGTGGTGGATCAACAGTATAATAATAATTTGCCTTAAAACATTTTATTACATTGTGATTAATTTTGTTTTTTTTTGTTTTTGTAACTTTGTAAGATGTTCAGACACAGGGTTTTTTAAAGGTCCTGAGAGGTTTAAAAAGTCAAAAGTGGACTGTAAATAATCAGGCAGACATTGATCAAATATAATAAAACCAAAATTACTGGTCAACGGGTTTTACACATCACAACTTTTTATTAGCTTTTGATTGTAAAATTGCCAGTTGTTTCTTCTTTTTTTTTTTTTTTTAGATTGTCAGCACAACTGTTTTTCACATTCTTGTCATTTCTGCTCCCACTAAGGAATAGTCAGACTTCTGGTTCGACTTCGTCATTGCACACTTTTTATTCCACTGACGAAGCCGAGGCCGTATCCCTGGTTTTAATGTGCTCAGCAGTAAAATGTATTCTGCAATCTTCACTTCCTGCTTTGAGCTGAGTCTTGCTTCCTGTCTTTTGACCAAGCAGAAGCTGGCTGACCTCACATGTATCACTTAGTGATAATGCAAGGTTTCACATTGTCAACGCAGGCCAAAGAAACAAGAACAAGCGTACCAACCATACCGTTGACTATTTAGATCATACGTTAAATTCATGATGTTTGATATTTGGCTGTTTTATTTGATGACTTTTCTGAGTAAGAAATTGCATTGCTCATATGGCTTCCTCATTTTCGACACTTGAGGTGACATAAACATTGACAACGGAGTAACAACCCTTATAGGGTCACAGCAGGTTACATACCGACATTTAACACACCCACCTGTAAGATCTTTTGTTTTGCTTTTCCTGACATAATAAAGCTTTGTGAGTAGTTTTCCCTCGTGGGTACACCAAATTTATATATCATGTCTTTCAGGTTAGAACATTTCCTGAACATTCAGAGCCTTGGTCCAAAATAGTCAGCCAATGTGTGTGTCAGCAACATTCAC